ACTCAGATCTTTGGCCATATTTTTAACCCCAAAACAGAGAGAGCACTTTCTAAATTGCACAAACACATTGGCAATGTTTCAGGGTCAAAACGCTGCCGAAGTATTTGTGCAATTTAGATGGTGTACATGAGTTTGCCTTTAGGGTAATTAAAAACAGAGAATTACCTAATATTGGGTGCCTAGGACTTCTGTTGTTGTCGCCGTGGTATCAAAACATGAATAAATCAATATTGTTTCAGTAATCTGAAAGAAGTTTAAAAATCTGGTATCGTGGTAACCCTACAAGAGACAACCTTTGATTCATTTTTGAAGGGAAAAGTCGTACTTGTTCACATTTAAAACTGCATGTTACTTAAAGTATATCATATGTACATCCCCTTTGCTTTATTTATACCCAGCAATACAGGAAATCTAAACCTTTCAGGAGCTCATTCTGCTTTGTCATGATGTCTCAGAGTACGGATGTATAAGATTTTATCCATCACAGCTGTCACATTTGATTGCAGAAAATTATTGGCTAATAAGCAAAGCGTGATACGGAGATTCAGGTCCGGATACAGGAATATAATGAGTTGCATCGTGTCGCCCCTTATCAGTTCGTCATGATTGAAATTATCTGTCAGATATGAAATGAGGAATCTCCTGTGGTGTATCTGTCGGTTGTGTGCGTGCATCACATTTTCTGTTTTCCGTTTCTGCCCATGTGTTTTATAATAGAGCTCACTGTAACTGCCTCAGGCTTATAGAGTGATCACAGCCCTCTAAATGGCCCATTGATAACCTGGGTCAACTGAAAGGATGTCCTGTCATTTAGTCACAAATGCGTGCTCAGTGTACATGGCATGTGTAGAGTTTTTGCCAAGGCAATTTGGGAGAAAACGTTTTTAGAGGAAGTGGAGGAGGGCTACTGTTCTCAGATAAACAGAGGCTCCCTCTTTATTTTATTGTATTTTTTATTAGTTTAACTAGCATCCTAACTTATCATACATACACACTGAAAGCTTGACAATAGGAGGCTGTTTTACCAAACAATCCTCTGCTGAGCCCACTGGTTGCACAGAGGATAGGGAAGGCTGTGAAGTGGACTGAACCACTTGGAGAGTTTCCAGGGATTGTGGGTTTGGAGGGCTTTCTACGCTGAGGTTACGGTCACTCCAGTCTTCCTCCTCACTTTGCTTGTAGAGGTAAAACTAAGCCGCATTGTGGCCGGCCGTTGTGTACAGAACATTTTTCGCTCATGTAGTTCAGCAGCCTTAGGACACTAGTGTGGTGGACACATGTGGGAGGCGTTGTTTGTTTTCCTTGTCTGTCAGCACCCTGTGTTTAAAATACCACAATGTGGGATTCCCTCAGACTTACTGAACTGTGTTTATTACAAAATAAAACATGTTTGATTCCCACTGGAGCACATGGAGAAGTGATCAGGCACTCTGTCATCCTAGCAATAACAAATTCTGCTCTTTGTTTTTCCTGAGTTAAAATAATTCCTCAATTAATTTATAAGTGGCTTGAGAGAAATTTAAAACAGAAAATTACAGAGTTTCAACTTCTCAAATGTGAGAAATTTCAGTTTCTCCTCTGTTTTGTACCCTTTATGTTTAAGGGGTGTGTTTATCTTAGAATTTCGATGCTCTAATCACATTTTGCATGTACTAAATGTGTTCCTTTTTTCACTTCAGCTGCACAATAAACACCTTAACCAGCCTAAATGATTCTTGTTTTTCACCTTATCAGACTTTTCCATATGCACACACTACCTGTCAACCGGACAGCAAAACATTTCCAGCCAACTACTTTGTTAGTATCTCAAGAAGCTTCAAAGTATTTTTGACTTTATCATATATCCAGGTAAGGGATTTAAGTCCTCAGATTCCTGGATCTAAAGTAATCAGAAAGATAGGCAGAGCTGGAGTAAACAGCAACACTTAGAGACCCAGAAGCCCCATCCAAAGAGGGTCTGAGAAACTCTGATAATTACCTGAAACACTGCTTGATCCAGTCAGAGGGGGACACCTCTTTGGATATGTTGGCTCCTGGTAAAAATCAATAAATAAACATTTTATTAGAACCGGTTTTTAAAGTTGTAAAGTTAACAACAAGCCCTGTGTTGTCTTTCTGGCTTGCTCTGTGTATTTTATTCATTTATGTATTTATTAATTAATCTTGATCCTCAGGGGAGCGCCGATAGCCTAGCGGTTATGTCATGTGCCCCATGCACAGAGGCACTCGTACAAATGTGACATAAAAATCCACAGTAATCACATTACAGCACGCAAGCGTTATATATCGTGTTGTATGATTTCACGCTGGCTGTCTCCACTAAATCCGTTTAATATTTTGTTCTGTGCTCTGTGAATTTCAGTTTCTCCTTGCTAACAATGTGACGTATAGTGCTCTTGTATTGACGATTGGATGTGTGGTGCTTTGTATTGACGAGCTGTTGACTCAAATACTTAACACTCGTCGATAAAAGTCTTGCGGCCGGAAAAAAAAAAAAGAGGTATTTCTCGGTGTTGTCGACACGAGTCAAAAAGCTCAACATTTCAATTACAGATGTGGATATTATTTATGCACCGTTATCCTCCCCTTTGTACAACAAGCTAACAAGCTCTGTTGAGTTTGAAAAGCGAGTGCCGGTGCCTTGTAGAGCTAAGTTTCTCGTCCGTCTAAGCAAGCGACAGAGAGGAAAATAAAAAAGGTGCTGTGTGGCGGGCAGTAAGGACACTCCAATAGGAAACAAGTCAAAGTGGAAGTTTAGAAACAACCTCTTGAGTATTGAAAACGACCATTTCTACTATTAAACACTTGATTAAACAAAGTATTTTGAGTTTTAGACATTGTAATTTTTTCTAAAAAAGAACAAGTCCTGTCTTTCACCAATGACCAACCTAAAGTGAATTGCATTTTGTTGACTTTGGCCCTTCTGTCACAGTTCGGCACCAGTCTTGTGACTCTATTCTGGACTAAAAGTCTTTACATAATGCACTTGACTACACTGCTAGATATTAGTCCAAGGGATGCAAAATTGATGCAGCAATTTGTTGACAATTGGTCTCTTCTCGACTAATGATTCAAATCTTCACCTTTTCGTTTGTTTAGATTGATATATTTGAGTTTTTGGATTGAAGAATTTAAGGACAGCAGAGATTTTAGTTGAATTTTCAATGTTTTCTGTTGTTTCAAAGACCGAAAGATTTATCAGCTAGGAGGAAATGATCAGCAAACGGAGAGATGTCACTGGATCTTTGTACAGTAGCAGAACAGGGTTGAGGGCGGCTGCACCTGGGAGTGTTTTTGAATTACAGACTCTGAAATGAACAAAGACTGGAAATGATGTCATCTCTGGCGCTGTCTATGCATCATCGCTGTCAAAGAGACACCTGAGTTTTAACTTTTGAGTTATTTATTACGTGCTTCCACCTGGATAAATAAACTCTCTGACTTGTGCATTGTCAAAGTGTAGAATTACCCTCGGTGGTGCTGAAGCTCACTCTTTCCTAGCTGTCTTTTTTCCCTCATCTCTTCTTTCCACTGTTTTTCTGTGCACATTTTTTTCTCTCTCTTGCCTTTTCACACGGCCTTTTACTTACTCTCTTCCCAAATTCAACATCTCTCTGCACCCCCCCACTCCGCCTGGAGTCATACACATAGTGTATTCAAGTCTTAAGACTTAGCCTGTGTCATGCAAGCTGTTAGCCCCCCTCTTCCTCTCTCATTTTATCTCCCTCCCCTTCCCTTCTCTCTTCTGCCTTCCCCTCCCTCCCTCAGAATGTTTGGATAGATCTAAATGGTGTGATTGTGACTGCTCTGTCGGCCGTCTGCCCTTCCACGTCTGCCTCTCAGCGTCTTTGGAAAGTCTGACGTGAGCAGAGGGAGAGGAAGAAGGGAAAAGGCCGATTGAGTGAGAGGGGGAGAGAGAGGGGAAAGTTCTTTTGAACAACAAGGCATGGCGGCCCTCCAGAGAGCCACGTCTAGCATCAGGAGTCAGCTCTAGCCTGTCCCTCTTTCTTTACCTCTGTCAATGTGCTCTTTCAGTCTTTATTCCACTAATTCTCCCACACTGTCTTTTTTAGACAACCTATTCCCCGCTGAACATCCCATCTTCAACTTGCTGGCTTCCAATTTCTCACTTTGAATCGAACCCTCCTCCTCCTCCTCTTTCTCCCTCTCAACCTGGCCCTCTCCACCCTAACCTGTTCCCTTTCTTCCCTGGTCTGGTTAGCAAAGGTAGAGGGGGAGACAAAACCTCGAAATCTAGGCCTCTCATTTAACCAGAAGGTGTCGCATTGCATTTGAGGCGCTTCATGGCGGTGTCACATGTCCCGGCATTCAAAGAGTCGGGGTTTAAGAATGTGGGTCATTTGAAGTAGAGGCACTAAAGTGCGTTGTTTGCCAATGAATGGAGCCTTCTCACATTGACATGGTGAAAAGCGTGTGAATAAACACCAGCGCCTGGGGGCATCACTAAAGTGTTCGGCTGTATTCTTCTCGGTACCCCACCTGTACAAGCCTGTTATTATCCCGCACATGAATAGATTTCAGGAATCACATTTGATACGGGCACCCGGCTGTTGTTAGCTAAGATACCTTTTATCGAAGCTTTTCTACTACACCCACAGTCGCTGCCTTTAAACCTCTCCCACAAGAAAACCAGATCACGCAGTAATTAAGTTTGGTCGCCTGTTGTGCTGCATGTAGTCATGTTGCATGTGTCGCTCTGCATCCTGCACACCCGGGGCTCTTTGCCTGTAGGTCTGCCTGACTGGTTGGCTCCCTTAATTGCTCTCCCACGGCAGATGTTCGGATCAGATGGTTCAAATTAAGTCGTATATTGCTCACACAAGGTTTCCTATGAAGATAGACTCTCCTCTTAACTGTCTTTCTTCTCACGAGTTTACGTGGGTGAATCTGTTTACTGCGAATACAAAAAAAATAATGCAAATCTTTTTCTTTCCCCCCCTCCCGCCTCCTTCTTTCTCACACTTAACATCATGATTCAGGTGTTGGTGGCCGCGCTCTTTGTCGGGCTGGTTTGTCACGCGGCAGAACCTCCAGCAGCTCAGTGGGCCGGCGATGAACACAACAACATCACCCAGCGACGACACAGAACATGTGTGGAAAATCAGCAGTACCTCCACCAGGGACTACTCTGCTGCCTCAATTGCCAAGCTGGTAAGAAAATCACATTAAGTACAATATATACAAGCGTCAATTATAGTTCCATTTTTACCCAATCATATGAGCCATGTGGGCCCCTGATTCTGCAACATATCACTTAGTTTCCTGTAAAGAAGTGGTTCTCCAACTTAATTTAATAAGGTACCATAACCCCCCATAAAATACTTTTCATTTAAATAACCCCTGACCAAAAAGAAGAGCTTTTATAGAGAGGTACAAGTGCATGAAGTGTTTGACAAGAAAAGCGCTGCACGTCCGTCCTGTCTTTGACAACGGCTGCTGTATGACCAACACTGCTCCGTTACTTTTTTACTCTGTTTTATATTTTAGAGGGTACAAGACACGATCCAGAGGCAGCAAAAATATCGTATATTATGAAAAGAGCGCCGGTTGCGTCAACCGTGCCTTTCTGAAAAAGTTAAAAGATTTTCATCTTGAGTCCTGGGCGCTGCACTTTTTCTCCGGGGGCTGCTTTCTGTTGCGAAAGCTCTCTACTCATTCAAATCAATTGCAAAAAAAAAAGCCCCTAGTGCTCAGAAGGAAACGCTAGGTGGACATGGGGCCTTATATAGTTCAAATCAATGAATGAATGAGTGGCTTCATATAGAACCAGGAATTAAGATATTAAAAAACAAAAAGTAACACGGTCTGAAAAGGAGTAGGTAGAAGTTAAACTTATATATCGCTACCACTTTCTCACTTTTCTTTTATTAACTTGTGTATAATTTAAACAAAAATAAATATTCATTGTTAAAAACAATCTCGAATAACTCCAGTAGTTCTCCAAAACCCCCCCGACGGATACTTGTACCTCCACTTGAAAAAACACTTACCCGAAGCACTGACCTATTTCTCTCGAATATAACTGAGTGCTAGTCAGAGCCAACATTTGAAATGGCATTTTGTGTGAGAAAAGCTGGAGTCAAATGTCAAACCCAGAACCCTGAACTGTTTCCCAAATGAGTTTTGCAAATAGTCTCCGCCTGGTCTGGAAAGAATGCATGGAGGCAAAACGCAAGAGGAAAACTTGCTCCATCTCAGAGTAAAAAAAAAAAAAAAAAAGAGTGAACAGAATGTGAAGGAAAATCCAAATAAATTAAAAGTACCAACCATAATCGTTATGTAAAGAATTAAGGAAGGCTGTAAACATTTTTATTTTTAGCTCAGTACATATTTGGCCGAAATGAAATAACTGAATTCTGCTGCCGGCTGATTGAATCATTGAATTTGAAGTTCTCAATTTAAAGAAATCTTTTTATTCAATTATTTCTGGTTTGGTCTTGTGTCACATTTACAGCAAGATTTTACAACTCTCATTCGGCATATGCTTTATTTTTAAAACACAGGCCTCTTTATCTAAGGATATATCCACTTGTATTTAAGAGCAAATGTCCTTTACGGCGCTCTCACACCAGGCAAAGTTGTCCAGTACCGTGGTTAAGCATGATTACCCCCCCCCTGCATGATCTTTCCTGTGCTGAAACACACCTTTTCCAAGCTTGCCAGGGCCAAGGAAGTGTACCGTCACACACTAATCAAACAAACTGGACTTTGAGGGTGAAGTGTTCTCAGGCCTAGTTTGAGTGCGTCCTTAAACTAAGGCTTGCTTGTGGAAATGTGGCCTTTTGAAAATGAACAGTGTTGACAAAATCAATGACATTTATGGGAGATGGATAATTAGTGGATATTTTATTGCACATCATCATCTGGAAGCGACTAAGACATATAAAAAGTCTTGAGGTCGATATTTATTCTGTTTTCAAGTGTTCACTCCGGTTGGTCAGTTGTTACCACATTCTTAAAAGCCATTGTAAATACTTAATTGTATGAAATGTTAGATCCTTGCTCCATAGTGTCAGTATGTGTTTTTTGTTTAACAAGGCAAACATTTGAATTTTTCCGGGTGCACAATGATAGCACTTTATCCCCAGTTAAATTGTGTTAACACAAACAATCACAGCCTTAAAAACACTCTTCTTACTGAATACTTAATGACATCAATCAAAGATTTCTCGTTCCTCTTTTCCTATTCTCTACGGGCTCTTTATTGGAGGGAAGAAAAAAAACACATGACAATCCAGTGGTTTGATTCACAGCATGTGTGAAATAACAATATAAATTCTGAGTGTGACATTCGACCATTCGAGGAACTTGGCTAACTTCACTCTTAATTCCTTTACTCTTTCAAGTCCCCCCATGACATGTTGGATTTTTATCTTCCTAGAAATCTTCTGAAAAACAGTCAGTCAAACTCTTCACTCTTCTGCACTTTAATCAAATCGAACTTGTCAGCTGATGGCCCCGTCGTTTTTGTTTAAAGCATTTAGTGTTATCTCTTGCTTTGGTATGTCCTGTCCAAACATCCTACATCAACAGGAAGCACGTCACATTAGTTCAGATTTACAGGACTTCAGTTGCCAGAATTGTGTGTTTTTTGTTTATATAAACCTTGACTCGTTTGATTGTTGTTTTTTTTCTAATTTATTTACAGGAACCTTTGTGCAGAAAGGATGTGAACGAGACCAGGAGCAGGGGACATGCAACCCCTGTGAGCACGGACAGACGTACACAGAGCACTCCAACGGGATGAACCGCTGTCTGCCCTGCACACACTGTCGCTCAGGTAACCGGAATATCTGCATCCTTACATGTGCTTCATGATATATTCATTTTGACCGAGTCAACATGAATATTCAATACAGATGATTTTAAGTTATTTTGCACAAAATGGGTCTTGCACTTTAAGCTCGTTAATTTTGAGGGCGGCGGTAGCTCACTCTGTAGGGATGGGAACCAGAGGGTCGCCGGTTCAAGTCCCAGCACGTAAAAAAAATATGGAAGTGGGTCTGAAAGCTGGAGATGCCAGGTCATTTCCTGTGTACTGCCGAGGTGCCCTAAAAAACCCCGAAAGAGCTCTGGTGTGTCCCCTGTGTAGCAGCCCCACTCTGACATCTCTCCAACTTGAAGTTAATAATAAATAAATGATCATAATAGAAGAAAATAAAGTATTAGACATTCATGAATAAAAGATGTTTTCAAAGACGAGTGAAGGGAGTTGTTGGCTCAGCTTGAACCAGTAAACCGCTTTGTCCCATTCGATCGCTGCCAATAATTCTCTAATAAAGAAGATACATTAAATAATAAGAACCAGCTGGGTTGCCCTTTAATCTCAGATAAAGTCGTTAGTAATCCGGTCTGTCATAGATATATTGTTTAGGGAAAGTTAATCCCTTTTTGTCTGCGTCCTCCCCCCCCTTCCTTTCAGATCCACTCGTGAAAATGTGATCTTATGATGTTACACGGAGCAGCAGGGTGTGTCTTTGTTGTTTTTGTTTCGTGGGGGATGAATGTGAGCGTGTAAGCCGTCTCCTGAGATTTGCTTGTGTGTGTCTGTCCTACCTGGCTGAACTGGGTGTGTCTGTGTCTCATTGTCTCCCACACTGGGAGTCTTTGTCTCCCGTGAAAGGCTGGAGCCACAGAAAAGAGACTACAGTTACATGGGATGTGTTTTTGTGCTCGTTCACGGCAGTTTATGGAAGAGCTGTGTGTGTATTTTTTATAACTTCTTCAAACATATTTACAAGAACATCATAACTAATCAGAGAATATCGAGGTGAGTGAGGGGAAACCTGATGGGACACTTCTTATTTTAGAAAATGCAACAGCGGATTTTATAGATCATTATTGCTTCAACTTGAAAGAACATCTCTTTCTAGCACCATTAATGTCTCTCAGAATTAAACCTCCTGAAGACTGAAGAAGACTGTGAAGGACAATTCATGACTTAAATGGTAGCTGGGGGGGGGGTGGTAATGATGGGGTAATGATGATGTAATAATGATGATAACTGCCAGGTTAGGCTCTCGCGTCACGACTCTCGTCTAGCCTTTCATATTCAGTTTGGGTTAAACACACACGCTCTCCAACCCCAACACACAGACTTACACAAAACACCTGCCAATTAGATGAAAAATAACATAATCAATAAATTACAGTGTGTTTCTCAAAGCGCCAGCTGCCTGAGTGACGACGAAGTGTTGACTTGTTGCCAGCCTCACACTTCAGAATGTTTTTCTTAATGGCGGCTCCGGTTTACCCTGACTCACGTCCTATCTAAAGCGTCTTCGGCTTGTCTTGCATTTCAATCAACACAGAGTATAATTATGCAACAAAATCTGGAAAAAAAAACATACGACAAGCTCCAAACAAAATCTGCGTCTGACACGACACAAATTGAGGGAGGCAGGGAGTCGACGACAGCGTGACAAATGGCTCCACCGCCGTTTGAAAGGAACAAATAAAAAACTTGATTTCTAGCTTTACATGATTAGCAACAAATGTGAAAACCGAAACAATGTCATCAGCATGTTCAAACAAAGACGGCTTTGTTTAACTACTGTTGTAATTTTTCCTCTCAGGCTTTTAAAGGGAACATTGTAGGAACAGAGCACAAACCATGAACATCTTAAACATTTTTTTACGAGATGTTATCACAGTTAATCAGTTTATGTGTTACGCTGAGCTGTGGAGTGGTTGACAACAAGGCCGTAAATCGAATTCTTCTCGACTGTCTTCATCTTCCATAATGAAAAATTGAAAAAGCCTCCAGAGGAAATGACTGAACGTTGGGAAAATTGTCTTTAAAGTTAGATTTTTATATATAATAAATTAAAACCCATGGTCTCAGTAACTTGGCGGTAAAGAAGTAATGTGATGAACTCACTTGTGGTCTTCATGTGAGTGTTAGTGAAGACACTGATGAGAGGCGAGGAAGATGAATAGTTCATAATTCTGTATTTTTTGCCAGGAGCGTTCACTGTGAGATAGCTCTGTAAGCAATAAATAAAATTAAAGGAGCAGTATGTAGCTCTGACACCTAGTGTTTAAAATGGGTACTGCAGTCTACATTCTAAACATCGTAGAGAGCTGTCTCCCCCCCCCCTCCTCTCTAGAGTGGATGCTCACTCAGGTCACCATGTGGTGGACTCTGAAGCTTCAGTGTTTATCCAGCTCTGCATGGGTCTGTAAACCTTTCTGTGTTCTAACCTCTCTCCATTTTTCAAAAGCATCTCCAATATTGATCCTAGTTTGAGCACGTTTCTGCTCGTGGAGCTTATTAGAAACATGCAGAGGCTTTTTAGGTCGGGTACAATCACTTCTATCTGAACCACTTCTCTTGACCGCTTCCATCGCTGCAACACCTGTTGACCTGATAACTGCTCTCATATCTGACAAACCGAGGGGCGTCCAAAACGGACATGTGGGGGGGTCTTTAAACCGCCACTCGATTCAAATATAGACCATTCTGTCCCAGACTTGAAACTTAGAAGGAGGACATACTGGCTGCTGCATTGTTGTCAGAGAAGCCAGCACTTCAACATAACATGTTTCCTTAATGTCTGATCAGATAGTAAGATACCTTTTATCATTTCACTCTCTACACATCTCACTGATTGGTCCTTTTAAATTTGACAAATCTGGGAAATTATTCTGAATTTAAAAATAGATGTTACGCATAGTTTACAACAACTCTTGATTCTGCCTGGAGACAAATACTTCATCTACACGTGTTTACATCTATACTATCTTGTTACCTCGAGCCGTCGGGTCGGTCTATAAATAGCCTCGCTTGAACATAGCAGAAGTTGCAGCTGTGATTATGATTGTTAAATTGAGAACGGGACACACACAAACACACGCACAATATTGTGATGACAGTGATGAGAGAAGACAAAGAATATGTTTTTGTGTTTAAGCCGTCTGGGATCAGTGAGCTTCATTTCAGACACAGACTTCAAATAAAGTAGAAACGGATAAAAATAGAATTCTTCCAATAAATCTTATCACCTCCTCGTAAAGGTGACAACGTGTTTATGAGGAGGTGACTAACTGTGGACTTTGGATCTCAGGCAGGTGAGGTGATGTTCTCACCTGTCTGGAAAAGTTGACTGAAGGTATGACATCATTTAGGAGATTTGGGTCATAAATTAGCACCAAGAAGGAAAGACCTGGAAACTTCTAAACAAACTTCTGTGTGTTCAACTTTTTGATTTTCAAGTGACTTCATTTTAACTCCCTTTCCCTAATTGTTAGGACATTTTACAAACACACTCATGTCCGTCAGCTCATCTTTCTCTAAATGTTACCATCCACAGATGAGATTGAAACGGCGTCCTGCACCACAACTACAGACACCAAGTGTCAGTGCAAACCAGGAACCTTCTGTGTCCCAGAACAGGCCTGTGAAGTCTGCAAACGCTGCGCCAAGTACGTCTATTTTCTACTTTTTTCCTTAAGTAGTTTGCAAGTTTGCAAGACAATAATCATCTACTGTCAAGCCGTGATTGGTCCTTGTATTCTGTTTATTTTATGATCTACTTTGACTGAGGATCTTTTCTGTTAAATCTCCAGGTGTAAATCAGGGGAGGAGGAGGTGAAGAAGTGCACGCCTTTCTCCAACACAGAGTGTCGGAAACTGAATCCGTCCCCGACTGAAACCTCCCCAGTCCTCACCACGTCCGCACCAAGTTCTCCACAAGATAACGGTAAGTTAACTTCACTGTTTCACCCAAAACTGCCTGCCCAAGATGAGAAAGAATTATTAAACCTAAACATACTTTTTCACTGATTTATTGATTTCCTCCCCTCCCCCAGTCCTTCCTGTTATCATTCCTGTACTCATCATCATCATCATCCTCTGCCTTATTATCGGCCTGGTTGTGTGGTGGTTCTTCTTCAAGCGGCGGTCATGTGAATCACCATGTGAGTTGCTTTCTGCACATTTGAAATGCTGATGTGCTTATTAAGAATGTGCCCCTAATGCTATTTGTGTGCTTTCAAACAGGTCTGAAGAGCAGCTGTGATCCCAGTGAAATTGTGAAGATTCCCATCGTAAGTTTTTTTGTTGTTCACGTTTTGTAACTTCTTGAAGGCTTTATAATCCATTCGTCTCGGACGTTAGCAGCCAGCAGCAGATAATCTGTGGCACAGTGTCTCACTCCACTTTTTTCACTGTTTTCAGGACGAGAGTGGATCCACAGCGGAAGAGAGGCAGAACAATCAGAACGCGGGTCTGGAGGGGGAGGGGGAGGGGGAGGAGCCCCGCCCAGAGTCTCGGCCCCTGCTGCAGGAGACTCAGTCCGGGTTGACCAAGGCCTCCCCTCCTCTGGAAGACGAGGACCGAGGACTCGGAGACAGTTTACCCAACACCACCAGCTCCTCTCAAACCAGCCTGTCGGCCCTGCCCACAGCTGCTTCCTCTGGTAACACCCCCCACCACAGCCCCACTGCCGTCAGACTGCCCCCTGCAGACATGGTGAGGAACTACATAAAACAAACTTCTTGTCATTTTTACTTTTTGTAATGATCCCATGTTGACACCTCCTTTATGTTTGTATTCCTCTCGTGCTGCAGGATGATCCTCTGCAACATCGATTGCTGCCACTTCTAGGTAAGATCCCCGCAGTGGGAGTGGGAGATTTCCCCACTCTCCCCACTAATTTCATGAATTTTTCATGCCACTTGATGTTGTGCCCCCGAAAGGCTGCTTGCTAAACACAGAAAACAGCTCCGTTTAGCTCAGTTCACGTCAGTCCACAGGGAAATCAAATCAACAGCAGTCATCCAGATCTCACATTAGCTGCTTGATGGATTAATAATCTCATGACAGTCAGGCCTGAAGCATTGGGGAGGGGGCGGGGGGCTGGAACATATTGTCCAATCTATGTTTTAATCATGATACTGTAAAGAAAATCAAGCTTAGCCGGTCTGTTTGATCCCTTTATTGTATTCCTTCACACTGTAAGCGTGGCCTGAAGCTAAATGGAGTGAAATGTACTGATTATATTTATACACATTCAGGGACAATGTAGTTACTGTACACATGCTGCATGAGTTTTGTAATGCGTTTCACTTAGCCTCAAGTATTCCCAGCACAACATGAAGGCTTCATGTTGACCCACTACAAAGTATTACACTATATACTTTGAAATTCCGAGCCAATGCATGTAAGAAGTCAGAAAAAACAAAGAAATAAAAGTGTGCAGATGCTTTTATTTTACCTTAATTTTTGACCAGGGGGATTTCCATTGAGACACAAACATCTCCAGCTCCACACAAAGAACAAAAAACAGATCATAACAAGCTAAACTTACATCCCACAGATCAGCACTAAGACGTGCATTCATTGGTCAAGAGGTTCTTTACTCCTGGTCTTTGAAACAGAAGCACGATGCTCTAGTTTAAGTCAGAATAAGACGTGGGAGAAAAAAAACATTTAAAGCTCTTTTTGCAAAGGCAGAGTGAGTTCAAGGAGTGACCTACATGATGATACTGAAGGTTTCAGCCACTGAGAGTTTTAGGAATCAGTGCTAAACAGTTTGTGTGTGACGGTCGTTTAATCAGTGTTCAATCCTTCGGTTGTAAAAGGTCATGAGTCCGCTGTAAGAGAACACAACTGTTTAAAACAGGATAGACGTTTTGTCCTGAGAGTTCAGCGACCTCCATTGTTCCACTTTGTGTCTCATAATCAGAGTTTTAATCGGTGCATTTCTATTTTTTCAGCTTCTGAAAAATCCCTCAAGAAGAGCTTCGATCTGTTTGACGAGTACCTGGACGTCCGGATCCACAACAAGTTCTTCAGGCGGATCGGCGTCAGCGACAACCAAATTCGGATCGCAGAGAACGCCCCCCCTGCTGACAAGGTGTACGAACTGCTGAAGAACTGGATGCAGAGGCAGGGACTGAAAGCAGACATCAACGACCTGCTGGACACTCTGCTAAGTATGGACCAGCGGCGCTCGGCCGAGACCATCGCCTCCGCCGCCCTGCAGAAAGGCTTCTACAAGCACGCGGACGCACCCTGAGGGGAGGGGCGGCGAGCGGAGGAAACACAAAGTACTCAATGCAAGACGAGCACATAGACACTAAAAAGGTGGACGTTGTGTCTGACGAACAGGCTTACCTCTTTGTGGCCGAGCGGCCATGTTTTCAGAAGCCAGTAGTTCTTTAAAGAAACACAAAAAGGGGAACGCCGAGCCGGATTCATTCGAGCTCTTTAGGAGGTTGACTACTTGCCAAATGTGGTGGTGTACAAAAAATGAGAATGAAGAATCAGTTTTGACAATTATGACAAAAAAAAGAAAAAGAGCACAATCACATGAAGGTGTCCAAATGCAGTAAACCGCTGCGTCTTGAAGCTAACGAAGCTACATGCAGCCCAATACTGAAAAGCTTAAGACGTCTCCGGGCGCGTGTCACTCATCTGGTCGTTACCCCAGATCATTAAACACTCAACCCCGGAGACCGAATATACACTGGTTTGTAGGAGTGGCATTAGACATGTCACAAATACTGGTGCACTGACCTCTGGCACATGTAGGATATGAAACTACAATCATGCTTTAGTTGTTGTTTTGATGTTACTAAAAAGGAGTTCACGGACATTTTCCCCCGACTAAAGAAAGGAAAATATTGGTCGTAAACGGTCAAAGTCTTAGCCTCACTAATCAGAAAACTTGACCTCTTCAGTGCCATTCGATCATCTGAGTATAAATAGATCATGATTTTAATGATGATGTCATGGAGCCGTAGTGTTCAAAAAAACTGTGTTTTCACTCACTAGAAGGAGTTTCCTGAGTTAAGCCTGAATTCCACCAGGTGTGTGTTCGGTCCGTCTCCGCTCCGTTAAGATTTTCACTTTATTCAATCTGTGCGTCCTAGCTCCATCAATCCAGAGCTCTCTGCAGCAGATACACAGGGCTTCTGTTTTTGCTGACCGCCGGAGCACGGCGCATCAATTAACCACAGAAAAGATCGAGCGAGACGGGAAGTCAGACACTGAAAAAAACCTTAAAACGTCCTGTTTATTTTCAGAATAAAACACTCAGTTTTGACGCTTCAGAACAATGACCGTATGTGTGTTTCATACGGTTTTATACCACATACATCGTGTTATCTCGCGCTGTCCAGAGTGAATCTGTAAAAATGCAGCGGCGTCCGGAGGTGCTGCCCCGTGCTGCACACTGAGAACGCAGCCGGTGGGTGTCGACGGACCGGAGCGGACACACTATTGCACACGTATCTGGTGGAAGTTCATCGTGTTCCGTCGTATTTCCAGCTAAATTCAAGGTCATATTTTATTTATTGTCATATTTATTGTAATGATTCATAATTAACTTTCATTATTTATACCTTTTGCCAAAAACAAAACAAAACAAAACCCTGCAAGGAAAAAAAAAAAGAAGAAGCGCCTCAGGGTGACATGACTGACATCCAATCTTTCAAGGTGTGGTTGAAACCTGTAATGAATGAACTCTTGTCTTTCAGTGTAGCACTCTTCTTGTTTCCACACTGTCATTAACGCGTGCCCATTCGGTCACCGTGTTTGAAGCTTTCATTATGTTTAATGTAAGACTTTGTCCGTTCAAATCGAAGTAAGAGATGACACAGATGAGGATTTACCTGCTGTTCTAGTGAACCTGGGGGACCGGAGCGTCCTTGGGGGTGCGGGTACAGACCGGTTTGTCTTGGTTAGACTCTGACAAGATGAAGGAAATCATATTTCTGGATTTAAAAAAAAAAAAGTACTCATGTATTCTCCTTATTTTTCCCCTTGTACATAAAACAAATCCATAACAGCCTCACTGAGTGTGTGTGTAAGTATGCAGCAGCATGGTGAGGAGTAAAGCACAAAGCGGAGTCGTTAGCTGTTCATTTTGTGCCCTTTTAGATTTCTTTGTTTTTGCCCGTTTTCCTGCAGTCTCCTGTATATAAAGGACAGAGTTACAGAGTTATATATAATTGCTGAAGAGTGATGCAACAGTGCCGGCACTGCCATCTACTGACAGACAATGAGAATACAGCCTGCACCAATTTCTAGGGATGCTGTACCACCTTCCTCTTTACTCACTGAACCGTTTCTAAACCGTGTCAGATTTTCTTCTTTTATCGACCTCTGAGCACGTTCCTTCACTCTGCTTTTTTTTACATTTTCTGAGTTTTAACTTTTACAGATTTCATTACAAGTCCTGAGCTGTTCAAATTAACCTCCTGTTACTTTTGTATAGATGTTCTATTCAGCGCTGCCTTAAAGCCCCCCCCCCCCCTTAGTTATTGTTTGCTTGTCATGGATTTAAGATATAAATTATGCAAAATATGTCAAAGCTGTTTTTATGTACATTTACAATAAATGTTTTGTACAGATCGTTGTGGTCGGAGTCTTTATGAACACAAAAGGTTTCTGGGTGGGTGAAGAAACATTTTTACGGGGAGCGCCGGACAGCCTGGCGGTTGTGTTGCACGCCCCGTAAGCGGATGGCTGCGATCCTGGTGCAGCAGCCACCAGGGGACTAGTCATTGAGAGGGATCACTTTGGGGGGGACGCTGTAAATACTAGTGTCCTCATCAAGACCACAAACCGAGACAAAGACAAACCCAAGACCAGAGTGCTCCGAGAGTCAAGACCGAGGCCGAGACTTTCTGCACAGTCGGCACTCTTACAACAAATAGCAAACAACTTTCATATTTCCTTCATTTCTTTGGATTCAGACTCTTGAAACACACAGCAGTCATTGCGATTTATCTATTTTTGCATATTTAATTAATTTTGCAATCGTAATGTCCTTGCCAAAAAGCCCGTCTTTGCATAATACCGTCAGTGTGTGATCATGTGGAATGACCGCCTTTCCTTGAGCTGAGACGTCTCATATAACCGAGGAGATTTCTCTTCTTTGTCTCTCTCTCTCTCTCTCTCTCTCTCTCTCGCTCTCTCTCTCTCTCAGTCTTTGTGTTACCGCCGCTCCTTCTTCTTCTTCTCAGTCTTTGTCTCGTATTAAAGGGGTAAAAATTATTCCGGACTCTTTTCAGCACCCCGTCAAAATAATAGAAGTGATCGTATTCATCATCCTCGCTGTCTTTGGCGTCTCTGATGGATGGAGGTTCTTTTTTCAGCCGCTCTCTTGTTTCTTTAAATGCACCCGAGGGTTCCCCGGAGGAGGACGTCTTTGATCCAGCGCCTGAATGTCTCTCCACGCAGTGTCTCCATCCGGCCTCAGTGCGATGGATCAATCCTCTGCAGGGCGCCGTGTCACCGTCGTGTGTCTGTGGAGGAGAAGTTGTCATCAGTGTGTGCACGGCTGAGAGATGTACAGAAGATACATGTTCCTCATAAATAAATCATAAAGTGTCTCCTGTGTAAATGTGTCTCTGAGTCATGACTGTCTACAATGAGGGAGAAAGGACAATTTTGTCTGCCTCTTGCACTTAATGGTGCTTAATTATGCCGCGATAACTCCTTCGTGCAAACCCGAGTAAAGGGGGGTTGGAGGTGTGTCTCTGGAGGAGAGCGGAGGCTTCAGGATGGAGGAGGCGTGGCCAAACAGCAGTTTGTTTTGGTTTCATGCTGGTGCTCAAGGTGTGACATCTACTGGATCAAAAAGTTGCACATTCTTCCTTTAAAAACAAATATTTATTTTTCTAACAAATTAATTAGTCAGTAGATGCAATAAAAAAAGAAAAAGAGGTTCATGTGATATTCTGTTTGTCTACCATTTTTGTTTTCAGGTGTCTTGCGTTCACTTCCTGTTTTATTTTTGTAATTTGGTGCTTTTGTATCCTCTCTCTAGTCTTACTTTCCTGGGGCAGCTTTGGCTCAGTTAGTAGAGTCTGAAGGTCGGGGGGTTCGATCCCCAGGCCCAGCCACAAGTCCGATGTGTCCTTGGGCGAGACACTTAACCCCGAGTTGTTCCCACTGCTTTGTCGGCGCCGTATGAATATGTATGAATGGGATTAGTTAGATAGATAGATCGATTCTTTATTGATCCCAAGGGAAATTCAAAGGGTCCAGTATCAGGTTACAAAGACATGACATGAAACATTTGTTACAAATTAACCACAAAACCGACGCGCCCCCCCCCCATACATATATATTAACCTGATAAAAAGATTTAAAGAATCCCTCTAGATGAATCAAACTTTAACTGTGCAATTAAAAATAGACTTATACAAGAAATGTACATAACCCGTGCATAAAAATATATGTGAGATTTAAACAAGAACCTTTAAACAGTTGAGGAAAAAGAAAATCTGTAATTAGACCTGAATATAAAAAATAAAAAAAGTGTTGACCTTCTGAAGTTGTGTTGTTTAATGTCAATGTTTAAAAAGAAGATCGTGCAAAAAGTTCTTCTGATGAAAAACTTCTGATGGTCACTTAACACAGCAGCCTCTACCATCAGTGTGTGAATGTGTATCTGTGACCTGCGGTGTAAAAGCACTTTGAGTAGTTGAATACACCTGCGTCTCAAACAGTACATATAATGTGTGTCGCACTTGACTTACTTTCAGAGGCTTTTCCACACTTTGTTTGCGGGACGTCTTCGGAGGCTCTGCAGAGGTGAACACATTCTCCTCTGAGTCTTTCCTGTGACTTTGCGGCCTCTTCGTCTTAGCTCCTCCTCCTCCTCTCTCTTTGCTCTTATGAAGTTTGACCGAGAAGTCCTCTCTCATCCTGAGGCCGAGAACGCCTTTCCTCCCGTCGTCGTCTCTCGTGCATCCCGAGTCGTTCTGAATCTCATAAATCTCGTCTCAGTGTCAGTCTCAGAGTCCGGACTCGTCGTGGTCGTGCTGCATTGATTGAAAGCGTCTCCGCTCGGCGTCGTCTGTTTTATCTCCATGTTTACCGCGGTTGTCTCTGTTTTTGCAGCTTCCAGCTCCGTCATTTTGATTGAGGGAGGTGAGGGGATGACTGATTCCTCTGATGGTGCGTCTTGTTTTCTATGATTTATGCTCGTATTCCAACGAGTCGTGTTGTTTGTCTCACTCTGCTCTATTCTCTCTGTCGTCGCTTTGACCCGCTTCTCAGTTTCTGCAGACTTTGTAGTAACTTTTTCTGCTTTTACATCCCCGCTCGCTGCATAAATTCCTAATAAAAAAGAGATTTCTTTCAGGTGTTTACATTTGGAGTTATGTGTTTGGATGATAAAGTTTTCCTCTGTAACTTCATCTAAGGGTGGGGGGTCGTCCGGCTCTTTTATGGGTATATTTACTGTTTTCCATTTAATGTCTGCATCTAGAATAACTTTTCCTTCCGTTTGCTCCTCCCTCTCTGCATCTGCGAGGAAAAACATGATTAAAATATCATCTCCCACCTCGCTAAGCATTTGTTTGTCATCATTATTATCAGTTTTATCTGTAAATCCTACTTGTAGCGTGCATGCTAATCTTTCCCGCTTTGCTTTTTCAATATGTGTGTGTGATCGCTCTGTTGCACTCTCTCCCTCCGGGCGCCGCGGCTCGGCTTGTTTTGTGATTATCCTCCCACTGAAATCCTCTTTATTATCATCAAGAGTGGCCCTTGTTTTATACCGCAGTTTATTTATGGATTCTGGCTCCTCTCTGGGAACCAACAAGACTTTTCTCTTAACATAAAATCCATCATCATCATCATCATCATCATACACACCCGATGCTTTTAAAGATTGCTCCCTCTGAACAGTGTTTTGAAACAAGAAGTTCAAATAGTCATTTTTCTTTATAACTCTCGCTGCTTTTCTCTGCCTCTGTAACTGAGATTTATCTGAAGGGTGCAGAGAAGCCGCTTTGAAAGCCTCGTATTGATTGACAAAAGCTTTTGAAGGCGGCGCTGAATCACGCTCCATGAGTACTTTTGAGCCCATCACGCTCTCTTTTTGTCTTATTTGTCCTTTCAGTTTATGTTTTTTCTTGGACGTTTCTCTGATGGACGGCGCTTGTTTTACTTCACTCTCTTTAAAACAGCAGGAAATTAGCTCTGTTTCAGCAGCGCCGTATCTCTCTGTCAGCACTTTCTTCAGCCAAACAACAATGGCGGGGCTCCAGTTCTTGGATTTCTGTAATAAGGAAGCCTGGAAATTGCAGCCTGAGGCGGCGGAGAGATGATGCAGAAACCATGCGGACCCTGAAAACGGGAGATCTTTTATCGTCCTCATCAGAATACGACCCGCTTCCTCACCAGAGATTACACGCAGCTTGTGCAAAGTAGGGACACTCTTCCTCCTTCCACACAGAAGAGAAACAACCTGGAGAGACAGGAGAGGAAGATGCAATTAGTTGCATTCTGCCACAGGGAAAAAATGCACGAGTCATTACTTAAAAAACAAACTATTTAAAGCACACAACTCCAGTCATGTGAAACGTTTTGGCCACGCTTGAAGCATCGCTCCAGGAATGGAGGAGTCATTTGTTTGTCACCCGTTTAATTTGGTCCCAAATATCTTAATAATGTTTGAATGATTTGCAGAGAGAAAAGAAAAAGTACTCTACATTTTAAAGGAGCAGTATGTAACTCTGACCCCTAGTGTTTAAAATGGGTACTGCAGTCTAAATTCTAAACATAGAGAGCTGTCTCCCCCCCACCTCCTCTCTAGAGTTGATGCTCACTCAGGTCACCATGTGGTGGACTCTGAAGCTTCAGTGTTTATCCAGCTCTGCATGGGTCTGTAAACCTTTCTGTGTTCTAACCTCTCTCCATTTTTCAAAAGCATCTCCAATATTGATCCTAGTTTGAGCACGTTTCTGCTCGTGGAGCTTATTAGAAACATGCAGAGGCTTTTTAGGTCGGGTACAATCACTTCTATCTGAACCACTTCTCTTGACCGCTTCCATCACTGCAACACCTGTTGACCTGATAACTGCTCTCATATCTGGCAAACCGAGGGGTGTCCAAAACAGGGTGTCTTAAAACGTTCTCTGGTCTAAACAAATCCAGAGCATTCAGGAGCAGAATCTAAAGTTAGAAGGAGGACATACTGGCTGCTGGGGCTCCATATCCCCCTCCCCCCCACATGATCCCCCGAGGGACACGGTCATAAGCCGGTCAAATGTAAGAATCTGTTTCCTGTCATCCGTCTCGTTAAACCCTGATTTTAAATGTTTCATATGTTCTCTGGAGGTTTTCATCTCTGCCTCAAGAAAAAAGTAAAAACCTGTCGTTGGAGTTTCACAGTAAAGTGACAGGTGCGAACACATGCTGCATGTCAGATATCTTCATAATCAGCAGCATGAAATTAAAACCAAAATAAACCTGGCTGTTTCTGCTTGTGTAATGATGAGCTTCATGCTTTTTAGGAGGTGTGTGTGTGTGTGTGTGTGTGTGTGTGTGTGTGTGTGTGTGTGTGTGTGTGTGTGTGTGTGTGTGTGTGTGTGTGTGTGTGAACTGTGAAATTCCCACCTGCTATGCAAATAAGTCTTTTACACACCGGGGAGCAGAAAGACAGAAATGCCATAAAAAAAAAATAGAGATGCGATTGAAATCAGCTCACAGAATATATGGAACATCGTTGGATACATTATTCATATCATGAATTATATTCATGATTTCAATGTTATCTTTTAATGACACGTCTACAGTTTTTAAATGTCAAACGAGAGTCTTCAGAAATGTGATTTCCTGAGGATTGTTTCCATAAATTCTTGCTTTGACAAACTGCACATCAGGGTAGTTTTATCACATGAATGTAAAGGGTTAAAAGATTAAAGGTTAAAGGAAGAATGTGTAACTTTTTGATCCAGTAGATGTCGCCCTTGAGCACCAGCATGGACCCAAAACAAACTTCTGTTAGGCCACACCTCCTCCAACCCCCCTCCACTCGGGTTCAGAGAGTTATGACCATAGATAAGATAAGAAGCTGTATTTGTGAGGTTCATGTTTATAAAGTTTGAAATAAGCATACCGGTGCTGGAATGTGACTCCTGTCGATTCCCGTTAGTTCCTGAAGAGACCGACTGCGTCCATCGTCCTCTGAGGGAACAGGGTGAAGGGGGGACGTCCTCTGTTTGTGCCGCACAGAGACAAACACACACTTCCTTGAATACACACCGAGCAGTTTTCAGTTTGAAGTATCCTCGCTCCTGTGGGAGTCACCCGTCCACAGAGGAGCAGATTTCCGCATAAACTCCAGTTTTCCATGACCCCGTCCCCGTCTCTGAGGGGGCTCGGGTTAGAGACGAGCAGGGACAGCAGCAGCAGCAGCCACGACCTCATAGTGCTGAGAGAGAGAGTGTGTGTCTCTTATCTTTACTGCATTTCTTCTCATGTCGCTTTGAATATTCAAACCACGGAGCAGAAAGGCTTCAGCTCTATCTGACAGGGTTCTGTAATAACAGAGAGGGGACTGACACTAAGTGGTAAAGTCTGAAAGGAGAAAGTGTAATCTTGTTTCTATGAGTTCTAATTCAAATGGTTGCTTTTGTGAAGCAGTTTTCACATAATGCATCCTAAAGTCCTCCTGATCTGGTCGTTCACACCTGCACCTCACAGCGAGAGATTTTCCCCAGGTAGGAGGGGGCGCAGGTGGGTCTCCTGAGGCAAAATATGAATAGAATAGAATAGAATAGAATTGCTTTATTGATCCCAAACTGGAAAATTGTGGTGTTACAGCAGCAGGTTATCCAAACACACAATATGAGCAAAAAACACAATGTTAGCAAATTTAAACACAATATAATATTAAATACAAAGTAAATAAGCACTAAAAATATAAAAACTAAGAATGTGAATATATACAACCAGGATTTAACTTTAGCATTACTTGTCTTAAATATGAAAGATTAAATGACAGGGACAGTCTCCCGCTGTGAGGGACATATGTCAACATGCATGACGGGGGAAGCTAGTCCTGAAAAGTTCTAGAGAAATTTTGAGGAGTTCATGTGTGAAAGAAATGCTCATGATGATTTAAAAGTCTTCATCCATGATTTCAATTTTTCTTGCAGTGAAGATTTCAGATAGGTAGCTGAACTGAAACACCCGGCGTCCGACAAAACTTTATGCAACAACTGAGAATTGGAAAATTGAATTACCAATTGCTGTTTTTCTCTTTATGACGATATTTAATTCTCAAGGCAGTTGTTGATTTTGTGCAGTAGAAGTGTCTTCACTGCTCAAACAGTTGAGTTTGAAGATTTGTGGTGCAAACAAAAGAAGTTGCTCACACTGATATCATCACATTGTCGTTGTTCATTTAAAGCCGGCCTGACTTTATATTACTCTGTGTTAACTGTGCTAACGTTCTTTTGCATATAATCAGACGTTATCCAGAACACACACACACACACACACACACACACACGCTCACACTGCCGAGGTCAGAACAGGATAGTCATCATTTTCCTCTCGACTACACTGAAGCAGCAGGTAAGAATTCCTTCTGTCTTTGTTCCATCTTTCAGACAAAGTTTAGAAAAGACTCAAATGATAACATGGCATGTTAAGTTGTTTTTAATAATCTTCAGGGCACAAAAACATCAACTGCATGTGTTTTGAATTATGTAGAGAAGAGTTAAACTGGAAGCTAAACATCAGAGCAGCAGCTGAAATATCACATTTTACACTGTCAGACGTGCAACAGATGTGAGACCAATTAATTTATAGGAGGAACAGGGGTCATTATATTCAGATCTTAGAAGCGCTAATGATGAGTCAGTGATATTAAAAGTCTTAAAGGTGACATATTCTCCTCTTCTTCAGTGTAAATAAGTCTCAGAGCTCCTCAAAACATGTGTGTGAAGTTTCTTGTTCTAAATCCACTCTGATCCTGTATTTGATCATGTCTATGAACCCCTCTATTTCAGCCCTGCTCAGAACAGGCTGTTTCTGTGTCTGTACCTTTAAATATGTAAATGAGCTGTGTCTGACCACGCCCCCTCTCTGGAAGGGCTTGGGTGTACTCGGTGCTTTCTTGCTCCATGTCCTATTGTTTACGATGAGAAGGCAGACTCAGAGGGCAGAACAAACACCTAGCTGTGGGAGTGTCACCCACCTGGGGGAGGGGCTACTGCCCTTTGTGATGTCATGAAGGGAAAATCTCCAAACGGCCTGTTTGAGCACACATTTTCTGAAAAGTGGAGCAGGGAGAAGACGGAGAGGATGGACTTTTCTCATCATTTGGGGGGTTTGTAGACGGACTAGAGACACATGTTAGAGTTAGAGGAACATGAAGAAGTGTGTTTTGCGTAATATGCGACCTTTAATTTATCAAGTTGTTAACCAGCTTCTTGTTACTTACAGCCGCCAACCAGAGTCCTGCAGTCCTCATCAATCGTCTGACTAACCAGCCAAATGGGAAACACAAACACCACCTGCCAGATGAGCAACTACAGCAGGAGGAACATCCGAGTGTTCGTCAGAGAGAACGCTCTGGAGCTGGACGCCTTCATCACCTCTCAGTCTGAACCCAATGAAGACGAGAGCCAGTCTGTGTCTCCCGCTGACAAGAAGTTCACCTTCAAGGAGGACGCCGCCTGCTTGCGTCTGCTGGCCTCTCAGACGCAGGCCGTGCCCTGGGATGCCGGGCACTTCCTGTCCGTGTTTGTGGAGGACGAAGACGACGAAAACGTTTGCGCCAAAAGGATCATCCACAACATGTCGCTGGGTTCTTCGCTTACTGTGCTGCTGTACGATCTGTAGATCCTAACCCGTTACTCTCTGCACAGATCTGAATAAAGTTCATAAATAAAGTCAGTCTGACTGCTCTCATCGCTCAGCTCCAGCTCCTACATTCACACCTTTACATATGAGTTGTCCCCCAGGTGCTTCACAGACAGGAGATTCAAACAAAAGACGCCGCTGTGTTGCATTATGGGAATTGTAGGATTTAAAAAAAAAAAATTGGTGATTAACCAATACTCAAAATCTTGACTTGATTTCATGTGTAGAATTGTTTTTTTCTAACTGGCAACCTTCAGGGGTGAACAAAGACACCAGGGTGAAAAGGCCAAAAACTGCAGTTCCATGACCAGCCACTAGAGGCTGGCTCCAAAAGTGAGTTAAGCCCCATTAGACTCCATATGACATTGTCAAACTTTGCAGCCTGGCACCAAAAAAATATATTTTCAATCCTAATTATATTTTTCTTTTTTATGCATCTTAAATATTTTTCTTAAGTTATTTTTTTGCCCATTTTTGCCTTACATAGAGAAGACAGCAGAAGACAGACAGGAAGTGCTCAGGTGGAAAGAGAGGAGGATGACATGAAGCAAAGGGCCGAGGTCGGATTTGAACCCACGGCCGCTGTGACGAGGACTATAGCCTCTGTACACAGGGTACATGTCATAACTGCTAACTCCAAACTTCCAAACTCCATGTGATCTGCAGAGTCCCTCTGCACCTTTAAGAAAAAGCTAAAGACCCAGCTCTTTCATGAATACCTACTAACTTAATGATGATGGTCTCCATATTATTGATGATGATGATGGTAATGATGATGGTTTTTGTTTGATAACGACGAATTATAAGATGGTTTCTATACTGATTAGAGCTCTCAAGAACTGCCCTCAATGTTGTGCTTTGCCTCTGGTCACTTCCTGTCAGTCCAATCGGACACACAGGTTGTTCTTATTCTCTGATGTACGTCACTTTGGATAAAAGTGTATGCTAAGTGAATTGTAGAGTTGTAGAGCTGTTTATCCGGCGTCCCATGGGGGGAATACTTTTAAAAGTGTTTATTTGTCAGCAACATTTTTGTTATTCACACAAAATATTTAGCTAATTATGTCATTGTTGTTGCTAAAAACACACAAGACCTGTCCCATATAAAAAAAAAAAAACTGCAGTCAGTCTGCCTTTGCATTCGTCATTGTGATTTCACATTGATCAGGTGTCACCCTCCTCTTCATGCCTTTGATCATCTGCTCCGGCTCAGATCTCAGGGCGGCTGTGAACAGTGGAGGCTTTCTTCACGCTGACGTTTCTGTGTGTGAAAACAGATGACACGGTGGCAGCTCTCTATCGCCCACATGCTCGTTTGGAAAGATAAAAAAAAAATAATCATCTCAGCAGCATCCTGCTCTTCAAGTTAGCGGCTCAGTCAACAAGTTTGAGCAATCAATTACGATAAAGGTCGACTCAACGGGGAGTTACATAAGACATGCGTGTGATTGCTCATGACCTCTGCTCAGGTTTGAATCTATAAATTTAAATAAAATGAGAAACTAAATATGACTTATTTTAAAAACAGTCCTGTTTCTGAAACAGACTGAAATCAATATAAATGTCTCTTTGCGACCCAAAAAGCCGACAAGACCTTCAGAGGACAGATGAACTATTTCTATAAAGTTATTATAAACAGGTGTCAGACAACGTGATCACCTTTTTTACATTATTCACAGCATTATTTACAACGAGTGATACGTCTGAATGTAAAAAAATAAAGCAGGAGGAGATTTGTTAATGTCAGAAAACACAAAAAGGACAAAATCCTCAAAGAGATGTGAGGTGCGGCTTTGTCCACGGGGGGGGCGCCAAAATCAACACAATACAAAGTTCCTCAAAGAAGCTTTTAGACATATTTTTAAAAGCACTGAAATAAAGTGAAAGGTAATATTACAAAGTGATTTTATTTGGCTGATGGTCTTGGCACATGCTCTTCCGCTTGCAGCTTCGTTTGGTCACGTCTGAGTAGACTCCACGTCTGGAGTCTAGTTATTGTCTGTCCTCTCTGTCCTCACTGTCGGTCATGAGTGCACCGTACAAAGCCATTTGGATTGCTTCATCATCCTATGGATCGAGAGCTTTGTTCCCTCGGCTACTGAAGCTCCTGATACGCTTCAGTGCTGACTGGCTGCTTTGATTGTTTATATGTTTCTTCCTGTTGTTTATACTGTTTGTTTCTATATGTATACCTGCTGTGTACCAGCTGTCCAACAAGAAATGTCTCCTGAGGGACAATAAAGTATTGTATTTTCAGACATCAGTTCAAGCTCAAATGAATCAAAGCAGACATAAACCATTTTATTTTTCCTTGGATGGATGGATGAAATATCATATCAAAAGATTATTCCTCAACATTAATCAAAAGCAGGAGACAAAGTTTCCTGCACTTACATTTCTTCCTGTGTGTGTGAAGCTGCTGTTGTTTCACCTGGAGGTAGGAGAAGCTCACCTGGAAGATGATGCACGCTGCTCTGAAGCTTTCCGCTCTCGTTCAGTCGTTCATAATGCCGACCTGGAAAACAGATATTTACTTATACAGGAACATATTTCACTTTTACCTAACTGTTAGAAAATACTAAATCATCTTCTTTTTGTCATTTTTCCTGCTGCTGCTGGTGGTGAATTCTCAGTCTGGCCGGCTTCTTGTCGGTCCCTTGGTACACTGAAACTTGTCCACATCTGGATTGGAAGCGCAATCCTCAGTGTGACCTCCAACATCAGTGAGAGTCAATGAAGAACTGTTTCTTACTCTAAGTGCCCAAAGACTCAACGGGTAACAACACAGTGTCCCGTTTACAGCAGCACAAACAACACTTAAGAAACTTCTGCTCCATGAATCAGTGTGACCATAAAATGACCTCACAACAAACTGAACTTTATGTCTTTTGTTTCTGTTGTGGTAATGGGAACAGAACGCCTGCAGAGCCAAAAGTTTGCAAACTTCCTTGGCGTCCTCATTGTGGACCTTCAGGTCGCTCGGTCGTTTTCGGCATTCTGTCCAAAAAAGAAGTGGCAGCGACCGGAAACAGACGGCGACAGAGTTCATCGATGCCTTTGCAGGGATTCTATTATTTCATGAAATGCCACAAGAATATGGATTAAATATTTACACTTGCACACAATATATTGAGGTGAAAGGGGAAAGCATTGTTTTGTTCAGTAAATATTCAGCCATATTCATAGAAGTTTAGAAGTTTTCTTGATTGTTATTTTGTGGTGATAATGTTTCAGTTCTTTGGGTGACTTAATAATATCGATTGTGATTTAAGTGAAGCTTCTGCTCAATGAAAACAACCCATAAGAAGACATGATTCATGATTCATGAAGTCATCATCATTCAGTTGTTTTTTTAAAACATTATTAAGGACACTTTCAAGGGTAACATCGTCTCCTCCTTTTCAACCAGTCAAAATAAGTCTCAGAGCTCCTCAAAACATGACTGAAGTACAATATAGAGTCACCAACTAACCTAACGAGCATGTATTTGGAATGTGGGAGGAAACAGGAGAGAACCCACACATGTACAGGGAGATCATGACTCCACACAGAAAGGCTCTGTCTGACAGGGAATCGTACCTGGAACCTTTTTGCAGTGAGGCAATATCACTAACCACTGCACCATCGTTCAGCTTGTTCTGGATACTGATTTATTTAATTTATTTGAGACCCTGTATTGAATTCCCTAGTCAGGATGTTTCATTAAAGTCCCTCCAGGAATACTTTTACTGAGGATGTGATAAAGATGTCTGACTCTTCACTGCAATATTAAAGTGTTCTACATTTCATGTGTTGTTTTGGCTGTGAGGCACAGTTGCTGAAAACTGATGATCCTAAGCTGTATTTTGTATCCTGATGTATTTCAGGCCCAGACCACTAGAGGTCAGTCTTGTGCAGTGCTGAGGTAACAACTCAGGAGAGGACGCCATGTAGGTTTAAAGTTTGTATGAAGAGTTAAACAAAGTCATGCAGTAAAAAATAATTTCTAACAACAAGAATTACCTTAATTAAGATAATAATCATGTTAATGTCTGCATGCAGTGCACAGAGAGGATCAAACTACTTACACTCTTTATTCAGTTTTATTGATATCATTGAAAGAAGGATGTATGTCACACTTTTTTTAATGCTGTCAACTATCTGTGCAAAATGTTGTCAACATGGAGGCTTCTCTAAAAAGACAGAGATGTAGAGATAAAATAAAACAAAAGTGAACTAAACAAAATATGAGACAAAAAAATAATTAAATTAACTAAAATTACATAGAAAGAAAGACAGAAATAAAGAGAGCAGTGTTGTTGTTGTAGTACTCCTTCTGGACTGTGGGGGCAGTATTGTACTCAAAGTAATAACAGCGTCCCAGATTTCAAAACGAAGAAGAACGCGCTTCCGGTTAGCCTGTCAAAAACAACCAGCTAGCATTATTAGCCCGAAAGGATACAAAAAATGGAAGTAAATCAAGCGAAACAGGAGCACCTCCTCGCTTTAAAAGGTAATTTACATTCATACAACACGAAATAAATCCTGAGTGTTGACGGTTTCGTGTTAAACGTGTCAGTTTTGTGCTTAGCTGTCATGCTAATGTTGCTAACAGCGCTAGCTCAGACAGAAAGCTGTAAAACGTTTTAAATTCATGTTACAATTAAATTCTGTTTGTGACATTAACAGCTTCAATAAGTGAAAGTGTTTAACGTTATTAGGCCTCAAATTAGATATTAAAAACACATATTCAAACATATTCAAACATTAACAACTGTCAGCTGGGTTAGCTTTGTTAGCTTTGTTAGCTTTGTTAGCTTGTTAGCTGAGAAAGTGTTTACATGACATTTTGTGACTTTTATTGAACTACAAAGTCAGCTTTCTTCTTCTTCTGTAGTATTTTATGTGTTTTAAGGACACAGGAAGCTACACATCGTAACATTACGTCATTTATGTTTTAATTTGGTGTATTTGTTTGTTTATTTGAAGACTTTGAACCATTAAAATGTTTTTACAATTATATCATCATGTGGTTTATAAATGATGAAACATGTTCTTAGTCAGGAGTTCTCAGGCTGTTCAGCTCGGGACCCCCCCCCCCCCCCCCTAAATAAAGGAGCCTGAGACTGGGGACCCCCACAGTCAGGTGCTGGACAAACAAAAGTCAATAAATAGACAAACAGTTTGTTTATCTTTAATGTGTAGAGAGCAGGAGACTTCTACATTGTGGGCTTTGTGCCTTTATTTTGATAGGACAGCTGAGGATAGACAGGAAATATGGGGAGAGAAAGTGGAGGGCGAGGTCAGGAATCGAACCTGTGACCGCTGCATAAAGGACTGAAGCCTCATGTTCTATGAGGGACAAAAAATGACTAAAGTATAAATAAATAAATGCAACAATTCATATAAAAATTAATAAATAATTAAATAAATGCATCAATAAATATATAAATAAATAATTAAATAAATGTGTCAATATATATATAAATGCAACAATTCATAAAAATTAATAAATAATTAAATAAATGCATCAGACAGAAGCAAATTTACATAAATACTTTTCCTCTTACGATCTGGACACAGAAATAAATAGATGTGTAAATGTAAAAATACGGAAATAAATTAATAACTCAATTAATGTGGAAATATATGCATTGATACATATATAACTGTAGAAATACGCTAATAAATGAATAAATACATGTAAAAAATATGTAAATAGCCTTTTTCATTAACAAAGTGTATTTATTATTTATTCATTAATGTATTGTTTTCAGCATTTATATATTTATTTATATATTTATTGATGCATTTATTTAATTAATTATTTATTTATACATTATTGTATGCATTTCTCCTAACATTTATTTATTTATACTTTAGTAATTGTTTGTCCCCTTGTAATGTTCATGTTCACCAGCTCTACCAATTGAGCTTAATCAGTGCCCCCGCAAACTTACATTTTGATAATTGGTTAAATGGGTTATTTTAAATCATTTAATGTCATTCCTTATTTATTTCCTTTGTGGATTTATTCTCCTTTCATAGAGAGAAAGGACAGCGGATAAAATTTAAACTTGGGACTAGAGAGAGAGAGAGGGTGGGAACTGACATGTTGGAAAGTAGCCACCAGATAGAGTCGAACCCAGGCCGCCAGCATCTAGGACTTCAGCATCTGTACATGGGGCGCCGGTGGCCGAGTGGTTAGTTTAGGAGTTCCTGTTCTCCTATTTTCAAATGTAAACCTGTGTGATTTTAGCAGGACAGGGACGGGAAGGTTTGTTGAAATACTGACGTCTTTAATGTGTTCACTAATGTCTCTTCTCTTTTTAGTGATGCGGTTGACAAAGCCGACGCTCTTCACAAACCTGCCAGTGACATGTGAAGACAGAGACCTGCCAGGTAAGTCTGTTCAGCTCTGCGACCTCAAAGACGTAGCCTTAATACTCGATCTATTACAGGATGTCACATGTAAATCACAGCAGGTGACAAGTCATTTTGAGATTGCATGTCTTAAGACTGTGGAAGGAAACCAAGAGCACCTGTCGGAAAAAAACCCAGGCAGACACGTGGAGAGCGTGCAAACCCCACACAGAGAGACTCCAGTGATCCTGTGTGGAGTTCGAGTTCTGGTCATTTTTTCCTTCATGCATGAAGGTCAAACAAATGAGCCCTGTTTGCTAAATGTGGCAGTATGAAAATCCAGTGTCTGTGGTTTGATTTCTGACTGTTAATGAAGCATGAAGCGATTCAGTGGAAGCCTTAAAATAAATATAATTTTGAAGCTTCCAATACTTATGTCTGTTAAAAACAACAACAAACATAATGATACACAATCGAAGGTTTCAGGCTCTTCTTCACTGATGTTCTATATCATTAAACTTCGTCCTTTCTTGGATAACAAAACTTGCAATTGACTTCAAAATAAAAACATTTCCTTAAAAATATTCCGCTTACATTTTTGAGAAGTTCATGCAACTTTTTTTTTGTTAACAGCCTGGTTAAAAAAAACCAAATAGGTGTGATTAGCTCATGTCTCGATGGACACACACTGTACGGGGGGGTGAATGTTTTGATGACTCATCAGTTTTGATTTGATGAAGGATAAGAGTTATTCACAATAAGGCGTGTAGCTGACATGATTGACAGGTGGGCGCGGTGTAACGGTTTGTCAGGAGGTTTAAAACCCGCCTCAGCTCCAGCTCTCAGCCTGTCGTTAGGTTGACTGAAAGTTAGACTGAGACAGCATTTCCAGCATGGAGACCGCCATCGATGGGACTCCAGCGCCCCCTGCAGGAACAGACGGGTGACGACACTCAGGCCTCGTCCTTTAATATTTAAAGTCTTTGGCTCTTCCTCTGCTGTTTTTTTGTCTGTGGCTTTGTGTTCACCTTTTTATTTTCTCTTTTGTTTGTTTTTCAAAGTTTTCAGTGTTGAAGTTTCCTAAATGCATCTGATGCAGATGTTGTAAAATCAATGAGTAATCGTGTTTAATAATTGTGATCTCAATATCAATCAAAAGCAATCGTGGTTATAATTCGTTTGCCCATAATCGAGCAGCCCTCGAGCACATCTGTATTTTGGATCAACAGTCACAGATCCTGCTCCCACATTTAGACCGGCCACCCTGCTGAGAGTCCCAGTGTTTGTTTTCCCCTCCTTAGCAATACATCAACAGAAAACTGTTCACTGTGCTGGTAACCGAATCCTTATAATCCATAAATCACGCTGACACTTTCAGGGTAGCATCGCTATTTATACAAGAGAAGCTGTGAAGTGGGGTCACAAGTTAAAGTGCACAAAGATGAACTGCTGCAATTTGACAGAAGTGACATAAGACTATTTGTGTTTGTGCTTTCATGCTTGACTTCCATTTCAGTGTTGTTACAGTTTTGATTAAAGAAAGAGGGATTAGAATTAGAGCCCGACCGATTCATCAGCCAGCCGATATCAGCGTATCCAGTGACTATCAATATCGGCTAATTTATCGCAGATATGCGCCGATATTACTTGATTAATTCACCAGTCAAAAATCATTTAATTTGAGTTTCATTTTATTACACTAGCAGTTCTTTTTCACCAGCAGAGGGCGCTATATGGATCACAACACACATCATCACTCTCCAGAGTGTTGAGCCGTGATGCTCAGTTACTTTCCAGTCGAACGGCCATCTTGTCTTCGTTGCATATCGTTTTCACAAGTGTTTGAAAACTGCATTTGAGGGATCAACACAATAAATGTGTTTATTTAAATCGATCTCTACAGATCGAAGATAGATCTTTAAAAAAGAAAGATATCGGCCGATTTATCAGAATCTGTTTTTTCCTCTCCTCATTATCGATATCGGCCCCAAAAAGCCCATATCAGTCGGACCCTAATTAGAATTTTTAGGACTCATAACGGTTGTTTGAGTCTGCTCCATGTGAGGCAGAGAGGAGAAGCGATGGTGTTCACATTTAAAGGTCGTTTCTCGAGTTATTTGGCGTCTCATAAACATGCAAAGTAATGTGGATGTCTTTACAAACATTCAGAGAGTAGAGGAGGTAACGCCGTCTTAATTACAAAAAAGCACTGGCAACGTTTCGGTACCAAAACAATGTGCAATTTAGACCGTGTGCAGAGGCTTCCTTGCATTTTTTGAAAAATCTTAATTTGGATGACCTCGATTTATATTTATAATTCTGTTAACGTGACAACTCTGTTAAGATGAATGTTTGTGGCCAACCAGTCGGACAGAAGCACAGAAATCTGAACCCATTGAAACCATTGTGTGTTTTTTTGTAGCTTTGAAACCTGATCTTCAAAGGTCCTGTGTTCCTCTCTGATCCTCCCTGCCGTGCACAAATACTCCCACACTTTTATTTCATCTAACGCTGTTTGAACAGTGTCAACATCAAAGGCAAGACGAAGCAGATTTATCGATATCGCGCTTGTCGAACACGGAGTCGATTTGAAGAGCTTTACATCAGAGAATACGATTAGGAAAGAATGTTTAAAGCTCCTGTGAGGAGTTTATGGCTGGTAATAAAGCAGTCAGAGTTTTATATTGATGCCTTTATATGACCGACAGAAGCAAATAAAACCATCAGCAACAGGCCTGACTATTTCTTTATTGGTATTTTTATTTCTTTAAACTGCTGCTGGTGTCAGGAGACATGATGAACAGCAAGCTGTAAAAACAGCCTTTTAAAGAAGATGTCTATGCTAAATGTTTATTGTGAGCTGCATGCAAGACATTTAAAATAAAGAAGGATGAATTTAATGTGTAACGGAAAAAAATCAGCAAAGAGATCAATTGCTTTTTTTTAAACCACAGAAGGGCACCAAAATATGTCAAACCTGACAGTTCCTCCCAGGTGCTTTAAAGGTCACATATCCTCCTCCTCCTCTTCAGTGTAAATAAGTCTCAGAACTCCTCAAAACATGTGTGTGAAGTTTCTTGTTCTAAATCCACTCTGATCCTGTATTTGATCATGTCTATAAACCCCTCTATTTCAGCCCTGCTCAGAACAGGCTGTTTCTGTGTCTGTACCTTTAAATATGTAAATGAGCTGTGTCTGACCACGCCCCCTCTCTGGAAGGGCTTGGGTGTACTCGGTGCTTTCTCGCTCCATGTCCTATTGTTTACGGTGAGAAGGCAGACTCAGAGGGCAGAACAAACACCTAGCTGTGGGAGTGTCACCCACCTGGGGGAGGGGCTACTGCCCTTTGTGATGTCATGAAGGGAAAATCTCCAAACGGCCTGTTTGTGCACACATTTTCTGAAAAGTGGAGCAGGCAAAAGACGGAGAGGATGGACTTTTCTCATCATTGGGGGGTTTGTAGACGGACTAAATACACACATTGGAGTCAGAGAAACACAGTAAAGTGTGTTTTGCATCATATGTGACCTTTAAGAAAAATTAATTTATGAATTGTTAAAAATAAGAGTGAAAGAAAGAAATGTAAATACAGATTTAAAAAGTCAGTAATGAGTTGTAATCTGCCTTAAGTGCAGCAACAAAATAATGGAGTAGTAGGCGATACAATCAATAACGAGTTACAGGTGACATGTGTCTCGTATTATTACCAAAATATGTCTTGTGTTCTTTCAGGGGATTTGTTCTGTCAGCTGATGAGAGAGGACCCGTCCACCATCAAAGGAGCAGAGACCTTAATGCTGGGAGAGATGCTCACGTTACCGCAGAACTTCGGGTAATAAACGCTCATTTATTGTGACGTAAACAAAACTTTGTGAAGAAACTTTTTAGGGGAAATTAGTACCACCACATCAACTCTTTAACCACCGGAAATGTTCATTTAAAGGAGAATTGACTTGTTTGTAAACATGTACATATTTTAAATAACAGGTACAAATAGATTTAGTAGATTGGTTTCTGCCAGCTTTAAAGGCACAGTATGTAAATTCCTCCACCAGTGGGCTCTCAATCAATACAGTCACAAAAGATGACGTCGAGGCTGGTGGGGATTCTCTCTACTACTCCCACTTAGCGTTTTTTCTCAGCAGAAAAGCGCTGGCTGTGTGCTCGGGAGCTCGCTTCATAACATAGTTCATATACAAGCGCTGCACGTTCATCCTGTCTCTATGACAACAGTCTGTTGACATCAGCCGCTGTGTGAGCGACACTGTTCCGTTACTTCTTACTGCATGTTTTTTTAGTCTGGTGGCTTTTAAAGTAAAATGTTTCTTTGACTTTTCACTGTTTTTTTTTTTTTCACACAGAAATATTTTCCTGGGTGAGACCTTCTCCAGTTACATCAGTGTGCACAACGACAGCAGCCAAGTTGTGAAGGACATTCTTGTGAAGGTAAAAAAATAAGTAAAAGGGTTAGTACTTATTTATTAAAGGAGCAATATTTAACTCGGACACCTAGTGTTTAAATTGGGTACTGCAGTCCAAATTCAAAACATCATAGAGAGCTGTCTCCCCCCGCCCCCTCCTCTCTAGAGTGGATGCTCACTCAGGTCACCATGTGGTGGACTCTGAAGCTTCAGTGTTTATCCAGCTCTGCATGGGTCTGTAAACCTTTCTGTGTTCTAACCTCTCTCCATTTTTCAAAAACAGAAGAAAATACCCTTCTTAGAATCTTTGAAATTGTCATAATGGTACAAAACCAGTGCAGAAGACACAGAAGTTTTATTTAATTGCTGCTAAATTGTTGATTATGTTGGACCCCTTTAAAAATCAGCTGAGAGTTCCTATATCAGTCTGTCCCGACTCACAACATACTCTACACCCCTTCTTTGACTTTCTACAGGCTGACCTTCAGACCAGCTCACAGAGACTCAACCTGTCGGCGTCAAACTCGGCAGTAGCAGAACTCAAACCCGAGTGCTGCATCGATGACGTCATTCACCATGAAGTCAAAGAAATCGGAACGCACATGTGAGTTTTCCTCCTACAAAATGTATCGTATCGAGTGGAGACAACGGACAAGCAATGAACTTTGACTTTGACTCTTCCCGCACCGCCAAACTTATAATTTAACATCCTTATCAGACGAGTCATCTTGTCCTCTCTTTCCAATCTGCAGCTTAGTTTGTGCGGTCAGTTACACCACTCAGTACGGGGAGAAGCTTTATTTTCGGAAGTTCTTCAAATTCCAGGTGAGTTATATTTGACTTTTCTCATTAGATGATGGCGGTAAACTGTTGGCCTTAGCTTGGAGGAGACCTGAGAAATGTCACAGGTCTTCAACAGAGCTAAAGCAATTAGCATCCTGACCGTGGAGGTGGTGCCCCACGGCCTTTGCTCCTCAGTTTGTGCACCGTTTGTAATCCTATTCCCTTCCCCTTTAGCAAGACCCATGTAATCCTCCTCACAGCCGAAGATTTCCAGACTGATTTAGACATTTTTTTTGCATGAGAAATATTACTTATTCTGCAGAGATGGAGCTGCAGTGTGAGAAACCTTTAGCGTTCAGTTTTCAATCTATTTTGAATCAGGTGTTGAAGCCGCTGGATGTGAAGACAAAGTTCTACAATGCCGAGGTAAGTGAGCCGCTCTCAAACACCCTCGAAACACCAGCTGCATAACTGTCAACATACAGAGTGAGTCTGTGCACTCGTGTGTCACTCCACATCATTCTGCAAATAGAAGAACTGTATTGTATGACAGGCAAGCTCTCACTGTAGAATACGTAACATGCTCCATGTCATATTTCATTTCATAGGAACATTTGAAGATGCTAATAGGCGCAGTTAGTAAAAGACATGTCTCAAGGAAAATTCTTGCACCTCCAGAAATGTCCATTTAAAGGAGAGTTCAGGTGTTACTTTTTTTAAACCCCGGCCTGTTTTTTTCAAAGGAGTCATGCTGACTTTTAAGAGTTTGTTATTGCTCTTCCTGATTGTTAAAAAAAGGCCTCATATCCACACGGAAAGGTTCACCTCTGAAGCTTTTCTTTCTTGCAACATTTAGAAAAAGAGTTTGAAAAAGTAATCTGAGCCTGTAGGTTGCAAAAACAAGGAATTTGAAGGATATACTTTACCCTGAAAGATTACATCACAGAAATTACAGCCACTATTAGGGTTGAAGAAAGCTCCTGGAGCAAAGACCAAACAGAGTTTTCTGAGCACCTGTAGGTCTTTTAGAGTCCAGACTAAATCAAGTAGGTCAGGGTTTAAAAAAACAGGAAAACATCCTGCAGAGTTTAAAAAACAAAACTGGAGATCAAGTGTTTTCCTCATTGAGACGACAAGCTTTTCTCTCGGTAGTTTTTTTTTTTACATTATGTCTGTTTGTGCAAATATTCATTGTCATCGTGTTTGGCATGTAACTTCATTTGTGTTTTATTCTGTCTGTATTTTTTTATTTTCTCCATTAGAGTGACCTCAGTTCTGTGGTAATTGTCCTTTTGTTCTCATCGCTGAACATTAGCTTCTCATAATCCTTTTTTTTTTGGTGCAGCAGATTCTTTTTTTTTTGTCTTTCTGGGGCCAACAGAAAGGTGCAAAAGTAGAAGAATGGAAAGTGATGTATAGTTTGAACACCTCGATAGTTATGAATTAATAAGTGACTTGTTTATATTTATTTTAACGTATTAGCCCTTTACATTGACTTTCCATTTTCTGTTCTTTTTGCGCCTTTCTTTGGACGCTCATGCTTTTCTTGCAAACTCATCCTACACAGGGCTTTGACTTTTGGAAATTTAAGTTTGCGGTGTCAAATTTCGGTGGGTTGGGAATGAACTGATTTATTATGAGGGGGAAATGAGGAGTTCACAAACTGATTGTTCAGATTTTTCTATTTGTGGAGATGAAAACGATTATGTAACACTGCAGGCGTGAAGCTTGGTGCTCCAGAGAATTTAACTTTCACCGTCTGAATGATCGTATGGCTTTGTCAACTTTAACTGTCTGATGAAAAAGGCAGATTCATCTTAAACTGCGGCCTTGTTTTTACAGACTTTGAGGGTTAAGGCTGGCTACACACTAGACTATTTTCAAATCTTAACCGATTTTAGAAACATTGGAGACCACAGACACAAGGACCGTTTCCACTGATTGTTGACATTATAATCCTCTGAACGCACACACTAGACCAGTGGTACTCAACTGGTCTAGCCTCAGGACCCACCACCAACTCCTTAATGATACATTTGGGACCCAAATGTGGAGATTTTGACCACGACGGTACAAAAAATCCAGAATAAAACAAGCATGTTTTAAAAAGCTCTCCATAAACTTTTGACCCACTTAAAACGGCTCCTCGACCCACTTTTTGGTCCCAACCCACCCGTTGAGTACCACTGCAGTGGACGATTCAGCCAGACCGTGAAACCACACACCTGCCGTCTGTAGTCACAATTTCACGGACTCGATATCTCCCAGAAACTCGCTTGCTCAAACGTGACTTCAGAAGAAAAACAAACATGGAGGACGATCGACGTTGTCAGCTGCAGGAGACTTTACAAAGACAATTGTGTTGTTGCCATGACAACACCAGCTGCTCTTTCTTTTTCAAAACTCCACTTGGCTTGGGGCTCGGTTGTGTGCATGTCCCATTAAGGAGTTACTGTCTGTGATTATGAGACGTTATTCTCTTATTCCACCAGCGGGTGTTAAAGGGTTAATGAAACAGATCTTTATGATGATGATGGGGGGGGGGGTTCAGGTCATGTTTGGAATGGCTTTGCATGGACCCGAGATGCTGAGCTTTCTGATTTCACATTAACATGGATGATTCAAACTCTCAGATTGGTTCCTGGTCCGTTCTGACTCTGATGAATGGCGGGCATGAACTAATCTCTGCTTCTCTCTCGTTGTGTCTTACTGTGTGGTAGAGGTTGCACTAAAAGTTGCTTTTCCAGAGTATCAACTAGTTGCCAACAAACAAAACCAATTATCCAACAGCAGCTATCAAGTCATGGTGTGCAATACCAATTTAAAATATCAGTTATGTTCCTAATGACCAAGTCAGAAAGTCAAATCCAAATATCTGTAAATAGTGTTGTAGGCAAAACCACACTATCTGAGACCAAGCCATACACGAGACCAGAGTGCTCCGAGACCGAGACAACACCAAGACATTTAGGGATCGAGTCAGAGTCAAGACCAAGACCAAGGCAGGGCAAGACCGAGACAAGACCAAGACCAAGGCAGAGGGAGGCCCAGACAAGACCAAGACCAAGGGAGGGCGAGATCAAGACAAGAACAAGACCAAGGCAGGGCAAGATCAAGACAAGACCAAGACCAAGGCAGGGTGAGACTGAGACAAGACAAGACAAGACAAGACAAGACCAAGACCAAGGCAGAGGGAGGCCCAGACAAGACCAAGACCAAGGCAGGGTGAGATCAAGACAAGACCAAGACCAAGGCAGGGTGAGACCAAGACCAAGGGAGGGCGAGACTAAGTCAAGACCAAGACCAAGGCAGGGCGAGACCGAGTCAAGACCAAGACCAAGGCAGGACGAGACCGAGTCAAGACCAAGACCAAGGCAGGACGAGACCAAGACAAGACCAAGACCAAGACCAAGGCAGGGCGAGACCAAGACAAGACCAAGGCAGGCCGATTCCGAGACAATACCAAGGCCAAGACAGGACCAGACAGAGACAAGACCAAGACCAAGAGACAAGACTGAGTCAAAATGCTTTCAATTCCGAGACCCAGACCGTCATAAAATGGACTCGAGACCGGTCTTCAGACAAAGACCGGTTTCCTGTACCACAACCCTAGCTGTAAATCGATGATAAGTATTGTTTAAATTATAAATAGTCTTCTTTTTTAATGTAACTTTTTAAAATAAACTATCTAAATATACTATCTTAAACGAGGTAGATATCAGACGAACTTGTGTCTCCTACAGGAGCATTAAACCATCGCTTCACACTCGATGTAGCTCGTGGTTGGTCTACCTGTGATGGTTATGACATCATGGCTAATAATCAAATCCACTATGGAGAAAATTAACAGGATTTTACTTCCAGGATTGGTCTGTTTAGCTCAAAAGGCATAATCTTAAAGTAAAACCACCTCGCTAAGGAGCAGCCGTCTAAAGTAAAGACTTTCATCAGATATATCTACATCGCTCTCTACCTCAACCAACAGATAAAATCCATCACTAGTTGATATATTATTATTATATGAACACCTGGATGACTTGAATGAACTTGTTAAAAACATTGTCTTTGTGCAACTTCTACTGCACACTCTGCTGGTCAGCACTTCTACTAACTGTGTGGTCTAAGGTTCACTGAGCAAACGTCCTCCAGTCCAGTAAGTTTAATGTCCGTCCTCTCAGTCTGGTTAATAAATGTCACCACATAACTACAGTCACATCACCTGAAGCGTAGCTTAAAGGACAGGCTCGCGTTTCTTCAAGTCGGCCTCACATAATCACTAACATGCCCTCATGTACATTAACAGTAGCCCCATTATAGGGGCCTTTAAAGACCGCCTGATGGGGACAAAACACCTAACGCTCTTTATGGCAGGAAGGCATTCACTAGGTTAAAGGTCACATATCCTCCTCCTCTTCTTCAGTGTAAATAAGCTCCTCAAAACATGTGTGTGAAGTTTCTAGTTCTAAATCCACTCTGATCCTGTATTTGATCATGTCTATAAGCCCCTCTATTTCAGCCCTGCTCAGAACAGGCTGTTTCTGTGTCTGTACCTTTAAATATGTAAATGAGCTGTGTCTGACCACGCCCCCTCTCTGGAAGGGCTTGGGTGTACTCAGGTGTTCTCGCTCCACCTAGCTGTGGGAGTGTCACCCACCTGGGGGAGGGGCTACTGCCCTTTGTGATGTCATGAAGGGAAAATCTGCAAACGGCCTGTTTGAGCACACATTTTTTGAAAATTAGAGCAGGAAAACACGGGGAGGATGGACTTTTCTCATCATTGGGGGGTTTGTAGACAGACTAGGAACACATATTAGTGTTAGACAGAATATGTGGAAACTAACTGGGTTCCTCTAAAGGTTCCTGCTTTTAAGTTCCTGCAGTGGAAACTGTTGAGACTTGAACTTCTGCAGTTGAGGAGTTTGTTCCCCTTCTTTTACACTGATATACATTCACATGAGGTATTTCTTCATAACAAATAAACACGGGGTGTAATGTACATGTGGGCATGAGATTAAGGAAACCTGGGTTTACATGTGAGCCTGTTCTTTAAGGGAGTAGGATTGTTGCACTCAACCTAACTCCTCTAAATATCTAATAATAAAACATCTGATCTGTTGCTCAGTTCGCCTTGGAGTCTTTGCTCATGTGCTTCACCGTGAGACACCGAACGTTAGTTTGACTTTTTGTTTTCTGACTCCAGACGGACGAAGTGTTCTTGGAGGCTCAGATCCAGAACATCACGACCTCCCCGATGTTCATGGAGAAGGTTTCTCTGGAGCCGTCCCTGATGTACAACGTTACAGAGCTCAACACCGTCGCGTGTGGAGAACAAGGGTAAACGAGCACTTCAGCTGATGTTTTCATTCCTTTTCTTGTTGATGTTATTTCAAAAACAAAAGACTGACCGTTTCATTGTCAGAGAGTCCACGTTTGGGAAGATGTCCTACCTGCAGCCCATGGACACGAGGCAGTACCTGTACTGCCTGAAGCCGAAGCCAGAGTATGCAGAGAAAGCCGGCGTCATCAAGGGGGTGACGGTGATCGGAAAGCTGGACATCGTATGGAAGACCAACCTCGGGGAGCGAGGGCGGCTGCAGACCAGTCAGCTGCAACGAATGGTATGAAGATGCTGTTTTTTTAAACATAGATATGAAAGATCTGTATGAAACATGGATGTAGTGTCTGTTGACGTCCCCTAATGTATTCAATTCTACAAACATGGAATGAAGCGGTTATCATATTCTCATCTAACATTTGATCAATCTAGAAACAGGCCAAGAGGCAGAGTGAAGATACACCAATGTGCAAGTACTTGTACTCAATCAGTCGATTTGACTTCAGAATATGAAGAACGAGGATCACACAGACGCGTTGCTAGAAGAGCATCACCAGCAAAACCATTGTGTTCCTTTTAGGTGCAGCGCTTGCCGGGCACTCTTCACGCTCCCTTCACGCTCTCTTGCAGTTTTTGTGCTTCCAAAAAGTTTAAAACATTTTCAACTTTTAAGCTGAAGACGAGGAGTGACAGCGCTCGTCTATGTACCTTTTGGCCAAAGCCGCCAATCAAATCAAGTAGGAGGCTTTACCTTCACTTTTTATGACATTTTCCCTCCTCCTCGTTCAGGAACAAAGCAACGTTGTAAGCTCTATTTCATTTGGTCGCCCTGTATGCGCACGCAGCCACAGGCGTTCCCACCTGTTTTTCCCCATATGTGCTCAGGGGTTTTTGGCGCGGCTGCATCTTGTGCAACGCGTCTCTGTGTGAGCTGGCCCTAAGGAATCCAAAAGTTTGTAACAAATATCTGTGCACCATGATGAACAAAGTCCAGCATATGAAGACTCTGAGCTGGAAAAGGTGGAGTGTATGAGTTTCTTATTAACATAGACGGAGAAACAGAACTTTATTCTGTTGTAAAATCCGATTAAGACCTTCAGCTTTTAAGCCCTCCCTGAAAGATAAGATAATGGCCATCATTGCGTTCATTCAACAGCCTGTTTGGGTTGGGCGGGATCGGGCGGGTGGGAAAAAACAGAATGTAAGGAAAAGAAGAGGTGGTTTTCTATTATTTATTGAACGGCTCTGGGACCAAAAGTTGCTGTGAGGTGGAAACGCAGCTTTGTGGTTAATCTGGGTCCTGTGGTTGAATGTCCTGCAGGCTCCGGGGTACGGAGACATCAGGCTGTCGCTGGAGATGATCCCTGACACTGTTAACCTTGAGCAGCCGTTTGAAATCATCTGTAAAATCACCAACTGCAGGTCGGTTTAGAAATCCTGCTTTTAAATAATTAACATACGATTGATTTTTTTTAAATTACCGGTAAACTAACCTTTTTTTTTTATCTTTGTTCTGCAGTGAGAGGACGATGGACCTGGTGCTGGAGATGTGTAACACCAGGTCGATACACTGGTGTGGTGTTTCAGGGCGACAGCTGGGGAAAGTGAGCCCTGCAGCCTTCCTCTCGCTGCCCCTCACTCTCCTCTCGTCTGTGCAGGGTCTGCAGGTACGAGCCCGGACCCTCTAAGAGAACCCTTCCTTTTGTGTAACTGAGCGTTTCTCTCTCATTTATCTCCTCTTCCTTTCTCTCTCCTCTCAGAGTATCTCTGGACTCAGACTCACAGACACGTTCTTGAAGAGGACGTACGAGTACGACGACATCGCACAAGTGTGTGTGGTCTGCCCGTTCACCAGCAACGAGTGCTAGACCTTTTATCCACCTTAATATTTTAAACATGAAACGGACCAACAGTGAGATTCTGCACAAGACGCCGACGCTTCACTCCCTTTTTGCAGCCTGCGCGGGAATAAACTGTATTTTAAAAATGAACTGTGAATAATATAAATCACTTTGTTTTGAAGAGAAATTATGTAAATGTGCATAAATGTTAATAAACTGTTTTCTTTGATTTCCTTTTTTTAAAAATATAATTAAGAGTAATTAAGTACTCAACTCTACGTTGATGTGATGTTGCCGTCTGAAGATCCTTTGTGACTTTTTCCATAAATTAGTAGTCCCAGAGGTAACATGATGTCCAAAAGTACTGAAATAGGAGACACGTCCTCTGAAGTTAGGCTGCTGAACTTCTCAATTATCATCCTTTCCCCTCCCCCGATTATCATCCTGATCCTCCTCAATTGTCATCTTTCTGTCCCCCCCCTCAATTATCGTCATCACATCACCACTAGCTCCAGGTGAATTCTCCTGATTATATCCTGCTGTGTTCTCACATCAGCTCACTCTGACTTTCTGCAGAATAAATACGAGGAGGCTGGAGGAGAAACTCCGGGTGAAGTCAAAGTGAGTGAAAAATGTTGTTTGAGTTCACACATGCAGCTCCTCCTGGGAATGTTAGGAGCTTTCTGTGTAAAAAAAAAAAAATTACCCAAACTCCACGGTGCTTTTTTCAGTAAAATCCAAATTTCTTGGATCAAATGATTCTAAATCTGTCTCTAATATTTTATTTAGGTAAATTTTTTGGGCCTTTTTGCCTTAATTGTTTAGGACAGCTGAAGAGAGACAGGAAACGTGAGGAGGAGAGAGTGGGGGGATGACATGCAGCAAAGGTCAGAGGTCGGATTCAAACCCACAGCTGCTGCTGTGTCGACTATTACAGCGCCTCTGTACATGCGCTGGACGACACACTGTAACCACTAGGCCATCTGACAACCCCCAAATATCAAAAGGGAATAAAAAGGTGTTTTTTCTGCTTCAACAACAACGACTTCTCCTCTGATAATAAAAATGTAATCTTAAGTTCTCATCAGCTCGGCTGCGACGTCACATAGATCTTAAAGTCATGTATTTATTTCACACCATGATGTCACAAATGAAAAAAACACAAGAATACATGTCATTAGTTCTTAATTTCAAGATGTTTATTCACATGTTTTTAGACCAAACATTGTGCCGCGTTAGCATACCTATTAAGTTTCATAAAGCGTCTGATCTCAAATACCAGATTTAAGAGCATGCAAAAGAAACAATCTGAACACTTTGTTACCGCTTACTGAACAATAAATATTCTTAAAGGGGGGGGACATTTATTCCTTTTTTTTTTTTTACTAAAGTGCAATAACAACATGATGCAGGCTGCAAAACACTGCTAAACAATTCCACTGTTGTTGTCTCTAGTCAAACGGTCGTCGTGGTCGTAAAAAGCTGTGAAGTGAGTCCTACTTGTGTTATGATCTTTTTTTTTTTTTGTCCCTCAGACGAGACGAGTGAGTTAAGAGCTACAAAAGTAACAGATGCCGTATAAACGAGGTCGACCTGATGTTTGATGGAAAAGCGGAAATGTTCCCTGCAATGCTGTAAAAGTACATTCCTCCCCAAATCACCATGACGACGCAGACGGGTCCTCCTAACATGAAGCCACTTTTTAAACGCTGAGCACACAAAAAAAAACACGGATGGGAAAGCGTCTCGCGGTCAGATGGATTCTCGACTTCTTGGCTCTTGATATTGAACGTGTGTTTTTAAAAACATGGTTCTGCTCTAGATGTGTGGGGATGCTTCATGTCGTGGGTCCGGTTCTCCAGGCCCCTCGCCGCCCTCGCCGCCAAGTCGCTGTAAAGTGCCTTCAAACCCCATCCTTTGTCTCTTCAGTCCAGCTATGCCGGTGGATTCAGAAATGGGTGTGTTGGAGATTGTAATCGCGCCGTATTGGTTTGCCCTTTCTTTGAAAAAAAAAAAAAGTGAGACTGAAAATGAAAACAGTCTCTGTTAGTGACACCAACATGTTGCAGTTTGAATGAACGATTGGGCTTTGAGTATAAAAATGACCTGTGTGGATCATGAGTGCTCCTCGGCGCTGCCGCTGAACGAGCGGCTCCGGATGTGGTTCCTCAGCTGCTCGATCAGCTCGGGGTTCTGCTGCTGGATCTGCTGGGCGAACTGTTGTCCCCTGAAAGAGACGTTTACCTGCTCCATTACTTTCTACCCAGACAGAAGCCAAAGAAAAAACAGTTTTTAATAAAGAGGAAAAATATGAAGTATTCCCCCGACATTACCCCCATGTAGAGAAGAGACTAAATCAGAAAGGACAAAAAGATTGTTTCTGCACTTGTCTGTCTGGGTGTTAAAATGTTCCTTCATGTTGGATGGAAATTGCACAAACAGTTCCTGCCTGTTTCCACCTACACCTGATTGAAGCAGGAACATCCTTGTGCCACAGTGGGTGACGGAAAAACAGTAGTTCTACTTTGCAACATGGCAGCGTTAAAACATATTATTTCCTTTATTGCTTTTACTTAAAGTCTTTATTGTGATTTTTCACACTTAAATATAGAAATCAAGTCTATCCTCTGAAAATAACTCTGTGAGTCATGACTGTCTACAATGGGTGTAACACCCGAGTCCCACTGTCTGTGATGCTTTCAGAGTTTTCAGAGTCCTATCTTCACTTTGTTTACATCGCCTGGACGGCCGGCTGACTCCTCCCCTCGTGTATAAAAGTTGTTTAATTGAGGGACTAGAGAAAAGAAGAATAACATACTGTACTCACTGCTTAACTGTGTTTCTAGATCACGCTCATTTCAGGTAAATTTACATGCAGTGTGAAGATACCAGCATAATAAAGATCGCTAGCATTAGCATGCTAACACAACAATGCAGCGCAAGTTGTTTTGGTTTCATGCTGGTGCTCAAGGGCGACATCTGCTGGATCAAAAAAATCACATATAAAGCCTTTAAACATGAAGACTGACCTTGTGTGTACAGTATATACAAAGCTAGCTAGCAAGTTAGCAACCTTAGCATCAAAGATCCCATCTTCTCCTCATGTTCACCTTTCATGTCGTCAGACTGTGAAACCTTTAGAGCAGCTTCAAGTCTGCAGCTCAAAAAAAACTACTTATCTATCTGATACTGGCGTCAGTAAATACCCATAATATTAGTCTCTGTCTGAAACGGTCCCCCTCCCCATGTGCCCACTCTCTTCTGATTGGCCAGCTCTCTGGAAGGCTTCAGAATGCTGCAGGGCTGCCAGTGGAGGGCTGCTCTCCAGTGTTTGGAGAAGAGAGTCTATGTAAGAGGTTTCACCGGCTTACGTTGAGGCTTGAAGCCGTCTCTTGGTTTCATATCGGGGACTATATGTGATTAGCAGAACGAGCTGTTTAGCGCCCTCTGCTGACTCATCCTGGGATTACACCAACATATGTTTACCTCATGATCTGAAACTTGAGTTTTAAAAGGGTATCAGAAGAAAAGGTAATTTTTAAGAATAGGAATAATAGTGGGAAATTACGGACCTGATTTGTAATTGGTGGCTGCTGTGTTTGTTTGATCTTGGTGGTTTGCATGGTCTGAATCAAAGGATTGGTAGTTTAGGATCTCAACGGCAATTCCCATTACGTGTTAGCATCAAGCTAATGCCCGAGGACGTTCATAACGGTCCCATCTGTGAGGAAATGCACCAGCTGCTACTGATTCAGAGCATGAATAAATCACCTTGAACTTTGAAGTGAACTTACGCTTCAATCAGGCTGGAGATGTCCGACAGTCCTCCCACTCCTGCCGCCGGACCCCCGACTGCGTTTGACATCATCCCCGACATGCTGACACGGCACAGTGACACACGGCGACAGTGAGACGAGGCACGTTTAAAAAGAACAGACAAAAACCTTAAAATACAAAGAGCTCACACTGACACTCACAGCTGCTGTACTTGTTGGTTCTGCATCACACTCGCAGCCTGTAAACGAAAAAACAAAATGATGATTTATTCCCACCTACATGGGACAGCACACACACACACACACACACACACACACACACACACACAATGAAAGTCAGGCACGCTTGTAGGAGCGCTCTCGGCCTGGCAGACGTTCCCATGTGTCATCATTTAACAAGTCCGAGAGGAGCCCCCCTCTCCCCGCTCGACGATAACGCCCGCTGATTAACGGGCCTCACTGTCACTCACCGGACTAATTAGGGAAAGTATCTGCTCTAACCTTTGCCAGAGACAAAACAAGCATAAGACACCAAATGAAGAGTCTGTGGGTCTGTGTTTGTCCTGGTCTAGATCCCTAAATGTTTGTCTCGCCTTGCCTTGCCTTGCCTTGCCTTGGTCTTGGTCTTGGTCTTGGTCTTTCCTCGGTCTCGATCCCTAAATGTCTTGGTATTGTCTCAGTCTGGCCTTGTCTTGTCTCGGTCTTGCCTTGGTCCTGGTCTTGACTCGGTCTAGATCCCTAAATGTCTTGGTCTTGTCTCGGTCTCACCCTGCCTTGCCTTGGTCTTGGTCTTGTCTCAGTCTCGATCCCTAAATGTCTTGGTCTTGTCTCAGTCTCGATCCCTAAATGTCTTGGTCTTGGTCTTGGTCTTGGTCTTGGTCTCAGTCTCGATTCCTAAATGTCTTGGTCTTGTCTCAGTCTCGCCCTGCCTTGCCTTGCCTTGGTCTTGCTCTTGGTCTTGCTCTTGGTCTTGCTCTTGGTCTTGCTCTTGCTCTTGGTCTTGCTCTTGCTCTTGGTCTTGCTCTTGGTCTTGGTCTTGCTCTTGCTCTTGCTCTTGCTCTTGGTTTTGGTCCTGGTCTTGACTTGGTCTCGATCCCTAAATGTCTTGGTCTCTATTAGTCTGGTCTTGACTACAACACCACCGACAAAACAAGCATAAGACACCTGTCTGCAGGACATAATGGAGAGTCTGTGGGGCTTAATGTGTGCAGCCGTTACCATGCTGATGAAGGCCGGGTTGTTGATTAAACTCGCCATGTCGAATCCCAGTCCAGCAGCGATCTGTGGCACACAATCACAAGAAGAAAAAGACAAAAGTCTCCATAACCACAGCTGTGTTACATACAGAGTCCCTCTGCACCTTTAAGAAAAAGCTAAAGACCCAGCTCTTTCATGAATACCTACTAACTTAATGATGATGGTCTCCATATTATTGATGATGATGATGGTAATG